AGAGAGAATAGGGAGTGGCAGAGATGGAATGTAGGGGCAGAGGGAGTATGGCATGGTAGAGGGGGTATGGACCAATAGATGGAGTAATAGAGATGGTATGTAGGTGCAGAGGGAGTACAGCATGGTAGAGTGGGTATGGACCAACAGATGGAGAAATAGAGATGGTATGTAGGTGCAGAGGGAGTACAGCATGGTAGAGTGGGTATGGACCAACAGATGGAGAAATAGAGATGGTATGTAGGTGCAAAGGGAGTACGACATGGTAGAGGGGATATGGATCAACAGATGAAGTGATAGAGATGGTATGTAGGGGCAGAGAGAGTATGGCATGGTAGAGGGGGTATGGACTGACAGATGGAGTGATAGGGGCAATGTAGGGGCAGAGGGAGTACGGCATGGTAGAGGGGGTAGGGACTGACAGATGGAGTGATAGAGATGCTATGTAGTGGCAGAGGGAGTACGGCATGGTAGAGGGGGACTGACAGATGGGGGCTATGCAGGGGCAGAGGGAGTACGGCATGGTAGAGGGGGTATGGACTGACAGATGGAGTGATATGGGTAATGTAGGGGCAGAGGGAGTACGGCATGGTAGAGGGGGTAGGGACTGACAGATGGAGTGATAGAGATGCTATGTAGTGGCAGAGGGAGTACAGCATGGTAGAGGGGGTATGGACTGACCAGAGTTACCTACCTAGGGTTATGAGGCGGGACAACTATGAAGGTTTGTGGGATGGACAGATGAATTAGTGGGGGGATAGAGGAGGTTGCATGGGAAAATGGATTGTGGAAAGTGAAGAGAATATATTATGTTGCAGTTGAGAGAATAAAAAAATGTGTGAGGGAAAGAGCTGCATAAGAAAGAAAGAATGTTTGTATGCACATGTACATTTATGTCAACCTATCGATCAATAAATATATAGAGAGATATAGAAATAGATTATTGTCTATGTGGGGGCAAAAGTCCATGTTACATATAGAGAAATGTTATTGATGTACAACAATTTTCTTATATAGTATGTAACTTCATTATTTGGTACATTTGTTTTTTCAAATTTTCTGTCCAGGCAAAATGTTTTTTTCCCCCCCATTAAATAATGTACTATGTATGTATACTGAAACTGCTTGGTAGTGAAGTGGTTAAACATTTTAATTACTAAGGAGGGGCCAAAAGAAATCCTAACACTTACCCATCATAGTAGGCATAGGCGTGCGCAGCCTATTGCATTAGGGTGTGCACCCTAAAGCACAAACACACGCCGCATGTATATGTATGTGTGTATATATATAAATATATACACACATACACACATATATATATATATACACATACACATACATACACTGCTGTGTGTGTGTGCTGCGTGAGGGTGGTTTGAGGGTGTTGTGTGTGTAAGGGTGCTGTGTGTATGTGTGTGTGTGTAAGGGTGCTGTGTGTGAGGGTGCTGTTAGTGTGATGTGTGTGTGAGTGTGCTGTGTGTGTGAGAGGGTGTTTGTGTGTGTGTGTGTGTTTGTTAGGGTCCTGTTAGTGTGCTGTGTGTGTGAGGGGGCTGTGTGTGTTTTGTGAGGGTGCTGTTTCTGTGCTGTGTGTGAGAAGGTGCTGTGTGTTTGAGTGTGCTGGATGTGTGTGGGTGCTGTATGTGCGAGGGTGCTGTATGTGTGTGGGTGCTGTATGTGTGTGCTGTGTGTGTGTGTGCTGTATGTGTGTGTGTGTGCTGTATGCATGTGCTGTATGTGTATTTGCACTGTATGTATGTGTGCTGTATGTGTGTGTGTGTGTTTGCTGTGTGTGTGTGGGTTCTGTATGTGTGTGTGGGTGCTGTGTGTCTGTGTGTACTGTATGTGTGTAGGTGCTGTGTGGGGGGTGGATGTGGGGGTACATTACTTAATATTCCCCCTCCCTTCTTACCTTATGTAGGGAGGGGGGATCCTTGTTCCTGATGCTTTCCCTGGTGGTCCAGTGGAGAGTGAACTCTAGCCCCTGTGGGGATAGAGTTCACTCTCGCGAGATCTGAGCATTGCTGCAGCAACGCACAGATCTCGCGAGAGGAACCCGGCTGAGCTGCTAGTTGAGCTCCCCGGGTCCTCTCCTGCCACCCTCCATGCTGCAGTGGGGAGGGAGGCTGAGAGCAGAGCCGGCGCTCGGATTGCTCCGGCTCTGCATGAGCCAACAGGGGAGATCCTGAGATCTCCCCTGCCGGTCTCAATCCATAGGTGTGCCGCCCAGGCACACCCGACACATCCCGTGCGCACGCCTATGATAATAGGCTTTGACAAATGTCAATATAAGCAAGTGAATATTTAAAAAATACTCCCTTATAGAGGAAATACACAATTTACTGCACTGCTACAACATACATGTATTTAACAAAAAACGGCGATTGTACATCTTTGTGCTGTTTTAGATATCTGCATTTAAGCATATGCATAATTGTAGAATCATGAATTGCCGTATTATTCCGTTTATAAGACGCCCCATGTATGACGCCCCCTATTTTTTGAGCCCAAAATTAAGAATTTGGTATTTTAAACATCAAATAGAAGAACTTTGACATTTTAGAGGTTTCATATGGATTGGCAGGAGGGTGGCCCAGTATATGTGTGGGCCGTGTCACAATGAAAAGCGTCAGGCGCCATCTTGTGCCCTGCGCACAAGTGGCTTTTTTTTTTATCCCCTTCAGTGACATTCCGTGTAGAAGACGACCCCCAATTTTTACTAAATATTTTTTGAAAAAACATAGTCTTATACATGGAAAAATACAATAGTACAAATGTGATGGTGTCTACAAATATAATGTGTAGCTGTCTATCATCGGTTTACCAAAGACAATTTAATTGCAAAATGGGAGAACTACTTAGGCACTTAAAACTGATGTTGATTTTGTCTTGCTAATGTGCAATTGGTATGTGTACGTGGTTTTCATCAAGGTAAAGCTATGTATTCACAAGAGCAAGATCTCATATAGAGATAATAGCTGATACTGAAGTGATAAGTCCACCTGAACATTTTAATAAAGTGGGTTTGAAGATTCTTAATAAATCTCTTGGAATAATATACAAAAAGTTGGCCTATGGGGCTTCTATGCTTGTGGGGCTTCTATGCTTGTGGGGCCCTGGAAAACTGCCCAGTATGCCCATGCAATAAGACAGCTCTTCTTTTTTTTTTTTATTCTTTATTTAAGGTGTTTTGTTTAAGTTTCACACAAAATAGATAAGCATACAACATGAAGTGTTAACATTGTAAGAAGTAACAGTATATTTTATCACATGCAATTTGAGGCTGGTCCATGGCATAGAATGCTGTTCGGGTCATACAATAATGTGCCCTGTGCATTGGAGTCATAACATATAAACAAATCAGAGGGTATCAGCGTCTTTAGAGATAAAAGAGTGAACAGGGAAACATTTTACTAAATTTACAGACCAAGTCGGGGTGTGGTACCCCTATGAACTCGGAGTATTTCTACGGTTTTCTGCAGTGTAGGAATTTGTGCTACAAAAAAAGAGTAGCTTGACGCGTGTTTCGGCGTGTCAGCATTTCTCCTGACGACGACGTGCTGACATGCCGAAACGTGCGTCGAGCTACTCTTTTTTTTGTTTTCACTCCTTCACTTGGTAGGACTAATATGCACTAGTTTAGTTCAAGTGAAGTTTTAATTCTATACTAGGAAGGGAGAGTGGTCCAGGTAGGCATTAGTGGCTAGTCCACGGTGCCAAGGTGATACAGGGTCAGACTCTTTGGAGTTACAGTGATTGTATTTTTGGTGCTTGGCCCCTCCACTATACCATTTACCTCTGGCTATTTCTTATTTATGTATATCTGCTGGGACAGTGCTTAGTTTAGGTTCGGATTGCTCTAAATATCTGTTGAGTGGTATTGTGTCCGGAAACTTTTTTATACTTAGTCCGGCAGTATATATTTTTGTCGCTCCCTCAATCTTAACGTTATCTGTTTATCCTTAGAATTATTAAAAGTAGGGCTTCCTTTTCTAATTTTTTGTCACTCTCCCATTTAGGACCGTTTTAGTCCTTCATAGTTTATATTGATTTTTTAAAGAGTTAGTTCCCTGCCATAGGGAGAGTGGTGTTGGGCACCTTTGGAGCTAAGCCCTCCACACACTGAAGCTCCTGGATCAGCCCCTATTTATCTATCTAGTTTCTTTTACTTCCTCTATAGAAGTTCATCCTTCCACTTTGGCTTGATAGCTATACTATATTGTGAGTTACCATATCTAAAGTTACCAATAAAGAACCAAACATTAACCCTGGCCAAAGTCTCTTACCTGACCTGCTTAAGATCATGACACCAGCATGTAAATAGCATAAACTAGAGACAGTCAAGATCATCATAAGAGTCAAATACAAAGTCAAATGAGGGATCCAGATATCAGATATTCAATGTCATAATTAAGTTAAGCCCTAGTCCTGAGGTGATCAACTAATGCAGGACTAAGGCAAGTATTACAGAGAGTGAGGTCTATATACAACAATATGGGACATGGTATGACGTTGCTAAATGATGTGAGCCTCATAAAGGTTTAAAATATTGTCAGTAAGCTAGGTAAGTGTGACATGAAGGTTGTTAAATATTGGGTCAATGTGTTATGAATCCCATACTCCATAAAGTAATTATTGCTTCTGCCTGTTCCTACTGCCTCTGAGTATATGTGTGTGAATGATGGGATGTCTTACCATACTCATATTAAATATAACAATAGCATCTTCTTTTAATCTTTGTCAAATAATGCTATGGAGTCTTTGCTTGACTTCTGCCCATGAAATTAGGCATCCATTACTATTATAAAGCCTCATAAGCCTTGCAAATAGCTATATTTATATATATATGTTTTATCTAAAAATAAAAAATTGATTCAGATACAAAAAAAAAAAGTGTTTAGTTCTATATCCGAAAATGCAATAAACACAGTAGAACACTAGAGGGAGCTAATTGAGCTAGTTTCCTAATGAATTTGTTTCTATAGCAACTGCAGCCTCAAAACAAACATAATTTGTTTGTATGAGACTGGTGTAAACATGCAAAACGGAATACAAATAAATATGGACTAGTGCGAGTTAAACATTTTCCTGTGCATTCTGCCTGTTTGTGCATCCATTATTTTATTAATAATAGCATACAGTTTCTGGACATTAAAAACTACAGTGTCATTTAAGAGAATGTGACGGTTTCCATAGAAAACCTCTTATCATGGAACTAACTGCACTCAAACATATTATTCAGTACAGTTTGAGACTGGTTGTGATAACACCTTCCTGAGTGACTCAGATTACTGTTACTAAGCAAGGCACTGGAGACTACAATCAATACAAAATTGTCTTATCTTCATGGTAGGAGAAAATGCCTGCTATTCTCCCACAATTACCTGAATCTATGTTTACCACCTATGATCCAAAATACACACCAGGGTAAGTTGATTTTCTATTTCTCATTTATTTTAAATGTAATATATGTGAATACAGTGCTGTATAGCAGTTAAATTCTGATGTTAAAAATAGTCCATTATTTTAGGAAATCCTAAGGTCAGTACAGTTGGATGTTAAAAAGCTCTGGGGGCTGTTCATTTATCAGTGAGCTGTGACAAATTAAATCTGACTTTTAAGATGTAGGTTCAAATGTATCCCCAGCTCTTTTTATGTATTTTTTTTTTTAATTTCCTGCTTTGGTTAATATCTTGCATACTGGTTAATAACGTGTCACAATTGCCTGTTTAGTGAATAGACTATATGGTATTTAAAAAAAATTAAAAAAATTTGACCTCTCAAATATTTGAATGTAGCTAATTATTTTTGAGGTTTAGTCATTAAACTCTGCATTGTAGCAAAAGCTGAAATCTTGTAGCAAAATTTAGACTGAAACAGATATGCAAAGACTAAAGAAGAGATGACATTTTCAACAGGGTTAATTATTTTCGTAAATAACCCTGTAAAATTTTTATTTTAGTCCAAATTTTGTTGTTCTGATTTCAGTTTAGTATAATTCAAAGTTTATAGTTTAATGAAGAAACCCATTTGTCTTTATAAATTCTGATCCTCTCTCTAGCTATTGGAAAAATACACACGTGAAGACATTGATTAACCCTTTCACTACCAAGCAAATTTTGTTTTTAAAAATATTAGCCTAATTTTTTTGAAACATGGGGTGCGTACCTAGGAGACATAGGTATCCAAGATTACATAATTACATTTTTATTTTTGCCTGAAGAGCAAACTTGCCGTTTGAGTTTTTATTATTCATTTATTAATTTATTTTTTTATAGAAATATTGAGGTGATAAATAACTTCACACAGTACACAGTATTTTATAGCTTGCATAATGAAATATTAGCAGGCAAGCAAAGACTTTTGTTTCTCTACAAGCTAGCAATCTTTTCTGACGTGTATATATACAGGTAAATTAGGCTTTACAGACTAAATTTTGTTATGCAAAGCCAATAAAAAATGTTCAAAAAGTTTATACATTGTTTTGGTAGTGAAGAGTTTCACTACTTTATGCTGGCCCGAATGCACCCCTGATTTTTATGTTTTTATTTTAGATTTGTTCTCTATTAATTTATTCATCCCATCATTCTTTTTTGACTGTACATAATTTTAACAGGACACTGTAAGCACTCTAACTGCTTTCTCATCGTATTGGTTTTAATGGGGTCCTCTGGTGCTGTCCTTTGGTTCAATGTTAAACTTTTTTTACTGAGAGTCTCCAGCTCCCTTTACTGTGCTGCTGGCTAACAAGGAAACCATAGCTTGAGCATCAATGGGCGACAGTGATTGGCTGAAAGTGTCGTTGACCACTTTCATCCTATCACAATGATTATTGCTTCAGGGTAGGCACGACCACTTTGGGCGCAGGAGATTAATGGGACACACAGAGGGGCTGGGTGGAAGTTAATGACACATGGATGGGCTGAGAGGTTAATAAGACACATGAAGGGTCTTAGGTGTAAATGAAACACATGGAGGGGCTGGGGGTTAATGAGACACATGGAGGAGCCTGGGGGGTTAATGAAACACATGGAGCAGCGGGAGCGGGGTGTGTGAAATGACATATTGAGTGGCTGAAGTGAGACAAATGGAGAGACATACAGAGGGCTGGGCGGAGAGAGGCACATAGAGGGCTGGTGGGAGGCACACAGATGGCTGGGGGGGAAGAGGTGCAAAGAAACACACAGATGGCTGTGGGATGACAAAGAGACACACAGGACCTGAGGAAGGGGAAAAAGAGACATGCAAATGGGTTGTGGAAAGAAAATATAAACAGGTGCTAGGTGGACAAAGAGACACACAGAATGGCTGGGAAGGACACAGAGACAGAGAGGGGCCTGGGAGGACAAATGGACACAGAGCGAGGCTGGGGAGGACAAAAGGGGCACAGAGGAGCTGAGGAGAGAGAAACACACAGAGGGGCTGGGGAGGAAAAAGAGACACACAGAGAGGGGCTATAGAGGACAAAGAGAAACACAGAGTGGCTGGAGAGGACAAAGAGAAAGAGACACACAAAGGGGCTGTGGGAAGAGACACACAGAGGAGCTGAGAAAAGGGAAAAACAGACATGCAAAGGAGCTGGGAGGGAAAAAAGACACACAAAGTTGGAAATATTAGTTTTTTTATGGGGCTGGTAGCATGTGGAGGAGTCCCCTGGCACCTCACTAATGTATGTATTCAAGCTGTTTTAGAACAGTTTGACTTCATCCCACCTCCATTACTTTAAACAGAGAACTTCCAACTCCCTTGCAAAGTCTAGCAGTGCAGGACTTTGCTTATAGCTTAGCAGTCATCTCACAATCTCAGCCAATAAGCTAGCCCTGCCCTAATAGAAGATCCTACTCTGGCTTAATTAGTGGGTGCTGGTATTGGCGCCTGGCACCCTCCAGGTAAGAAGTCAACTTAGAATGACGTGGTGCCAGGGCACACCTGGCATTATAACAGCTACAGTGGTTATGGTACTTGGAGTATGCTTTCAATGGGTTTTGTTAACTGCCTTGTATTCTGTAATTGTTAAGTAGTTTTGCAACTTCACATGACAGGACATTGGTTAGTGCTCCTGCTACAGTACAGCAAGTTCATGGCAGAAGATTTTCTGGAGCAATGATTGCATAAAATACTGCCTAATGTTGGAGTAGTTCCTCAGTTTTGATCATTGGCACCCACTTTTTAGTTATAAGAAAATACTATTTTTCCCTTTCCTTTTTGCTTCTCCATCTGCCAGTATGCCCTTAATGGAGGCACCATCCTAAATCATTGCCCTACTATCCTATCCTCCATAACAGAGTCAAACTCAGTAATTCAATCAGATGGGAACAGTATGCCTTTTGCCACACACCATTTCTAGCCTATCAATGCTTCTCTACGAGGAAGCATTGGATTGGCTGAGATAATAAAGTCTGATAATCTTAGCAGAGGAGGCAAAGTAACCGCCGCATGGCGAAGGAGTAATGGTAACGTATTCCTAAATCTTTAGTAGTCCTTTAAGCTCAGGATACATTGCTATGAAGTATAAAATCTAAACATGTTTGTGCTTTTGGCATGCTTTTCCAAGTGATACAATAGTCCATTCTAATTCTATTTCAGTTATACAAGTTACGTGCCAAAACTAAGAAGTGATATTGGAAAGATTTATGGCAATGCTACTTTAAGGTATCTTGACTATGAACCAGGCTTAAAAAAAGGACATAGGTTATCTTTTACAACGTGGGATGATAGACATTCTTCCCTCTCTGCCCAATCGAAAAGAAGAGAGTTTGGTGATCTTCAGAAGAAACCATTCCAGAGATACGTGGAAAATGTGAATCGTAAAAATGGTATGGTCAAAATAAATGTAATATTTTTGTGTCTATAAATAATATGGTGGGTATAGACTTTTCAAGTTTAGATTTGAAATAATTAATGGTATGGAGCAAGGCCATGAAGAGACTTTGTTTAATGGTGCGTGAGGATAAGTAGAAGCTGCAATAGATGGAGAAGGTTTGAAAAGACAAGACAGAAAAAGCTAGACTATGGGTGGACTGTAGAGAAAAAGATAGAAAATATGATGTAAGGCATAATATAGAAAGAGTCAGGTAGGGTTGAAAAGGACTTTGGAAGCAGTGAAGGCCAAGGAATACAAGTGAGATCGGAAAAATAAATGCAGAAAGAAGGGTCTGAAGAAGAAGGGGGCAAGGGCAATCAAAAAGTAGAAAGAAAGCAGCGAGAATGTGAAAACAGAAAAGTAGATGAAGTGGAGGGCAAGGGTGTCTTAGGACAAAGGGGAAATAAAAAAAGTGACCCTGAAAAAGAAATATTCTGTGATCTGCAAAGATTATGGGAACAGAATTAGTCAAACTGAATGGAAAAGAGAAGGGACAGAGGGATGTAACAGTAACATGGAGAGGGGCTGTTGAAGGTGACTGTAACGTGTGGAGGTGAAGAACTGGACTGCTGAGTTCAGCTAGCAAACAACATGGTAACAGACAAATACAACTTATTTTTTCTACTTTCAAGGATTTCTGCATGATTTTACACAAATGAAACATACCTATGATGGAAACCCACGCATGTCGTCTGCAATTCACACAGTGGAGGAAACAAAACATGAATTAAATAAGCCCCTACAATGGACACAATCTGATACAAACAGATATGGATCTGAAAGACATGGGCTGGAGCAATGGGATCCAAGGAGCAATGGGATATGTGAACAGGTACTTCATTACACGGAATTTAAGTCTAAAGATCCAATTTGCATCCAATTTGATAGGTTTTATATTGTCACCCTTTATTAATAGGCACAGTTTATATTGGTATATAGTTTTACAGTGTTGGGTTAAGGGTTAATACTGCCACTTGTCAGTAGATTATGTGTTATATATATATATTCCTCAATACATTGAGGCATTTATATTGGCATGCATGAATACAGCAAAGAGTACAGCACTACAGAAGTCTAGAGTCATGTGTATGTGTTTGATCTCAGCTAACCTTTACATCACTGAGAATGATTGTAGTTAAAATATACAGCTAAACTAGACTGGATCACTGGTGTCTCCAGTATTCACATTTAGGGGGGACAGGGACAAAAGTATAGGGATATACATACATGCCAATGAGCAGCAGATACCTCAATTTGGTATAGCATGTCAAGAAGCAGTAAAATCTATCAGCTTTATATATAATACCATTGAGCAATCCATGCATTCACTTTATAAATGCTTACAATGGGCATCAAATGCATAATTTCGCATAGCAAGCGTTCCCTCTTGGCCAGTGACTAAGCCACTCATTCGCTATCATATTTCAAGTAAATCCATACCCCCAAACAGCAGTGTCCAGTGAAGCTGAATTTCAGTGGATGGGGTAAAAGGGTGGGCTACTGATGTGAATCACGTAACCAGAACCGCCCAAACGGACAAACATGCGCAAAAGGGGGCATGTCTGCATGAAGAATTGGTGAATGCACGTCAGGCTGCCTGCCAATCATGCAGGATGACAAACCAAGGGCATACTGTGCCAACAGAACCCTGAGCTTGGCATAAATGCGTCTAATGATGCGCTAACTCTACGCTTTTTAAGGATTGTCCCCTAGCATTCACTTGTCCACTCCTCTCCTAACTTTCTTACTAGCAGACAGAATCTTCTGTTATACAGCCTGTGAAAGAGAAAAAGCTGTATGTAGTGAGTGTAAGGGAAGAAAGGAAATATGCCACAGAGTTAGAAAGACTGAAGCAGCAAGAGCATGTGCATAGTGCGCAAAGTCAGCTTTACTTTAACTAATTTCATTGTCAGCCAGTCCACACCAGTTTTTTTCCCTATACTCATTTTAAGTTTCCATACTTAAATAAGAGCATGTGAAGAGTAGTAAAAAAAATAATAATTTTTGTTTAATTTTTTTTAATCAATGGGCCTATTCCATGGCCATGGGCTTGGAGCTGCAGCTCCATCAGCCCCTATGTTAATCCGGACCTACTAACTGCCTACTAACATGTTTGGCTACACAGTATTTTTTCTTCTACCTTTTGTTTGTTAACCCTTATGCTGTTGGGAGTAGTAATGAAAGATATATTGCATAACATGAGTCTCCAGTCAGCCATAAAATCCCAGGCTATTGGTATTTACATCTCATTTACTGTACTACTGTTGCAATTTGCATGATACTTTATAATAGTTAAAGGACCACTATAGGCACCCAGACCACTTCAGCTCAATGAAGTGGTCTGGGTGCCAGGTCCATCTAGGGTTAACCCTGCAGCTGTAAACATAGCAGTTTCAGAGAAACTGCTATGTTTACAATAAAGTTACTCCAGCCTCTAGTGGCTGTCTCATTGACAGCTGCTAGAGGCGCTTCCACGCTTCTCACTGTGAAAATCACAGTGAGAAGACGCTGAAGTCCATAGGAAAGCATTGAGAAATGCTTTCCTATGGACTGATTGAATGCGCATTCGGCGGATGACGTCGGAAGAGGGAGGAGAGTCCCCAGCACCAAGGGAGCCCGGCGCTGGAGAAAGGTAAGCATTTAACCCCTTCCTCCCCCTTCAGCCTGGCGGGAGTGGGACCCTGAGGGTGGGGGGGACCTAAAGACCCTATAGAGCCAGGAAAATGAGTTTGTTTTCCTGGCACTATAGTGGTCCTTTAAGGAAATTATCTTTAAATCAGAAACTAGATTTTTTTTAGTTTAATTGTATTTACAGCAATACAGGCATTGGCAGAAGAATTAAAAAGATGAATCCTCTTTTTTCCAAGTTACATGATTATGTCAGCATAAATAAGATGACTGGTTAGGTTTACAAAACTTTGCTTAAAGGGAACATTTCATGACAGGCAATATATTGAAATTAATTTAGAGTGTTTAATTAAAATTGCAATTATTTATTTTTACTCATTCTGGTTTATTATTTTTTTTTGTAGCCTTAAAATATTTCTAAAAAAATCTAAATAAAAAAAAAGTAGAAATCACAATTATATTAGCCTACTGTCCTTACAAATTCAACTGCTTAATCACATGACAAAGGTACCACTTAACTGGCTGATTTAAATGATCACCTAGTTCAATTTGAAAGTCAGCTCCATTTTATATTTCCTTTTATTCTGATGCTGTCCGCATTGCTCCTATGATGTCAAGATATTACTGTAACATGTAACAATATGCAACTCATAGCATATGTTGTTAGGTTTCTTATTAAGGTTTGGACAACATTGGTTTAATGCATACAACATTTTGTACTATTCAGTATTTTTAAAGGGAAACAGTCACTTCTCTTGGATTTATGCCATTGAAAGGAACATTAAAAATCATCTATAATTTGTATTAAACTTTTTGCATGCTATCCTCCGTTTTCTTTTAAATTCAAATTATAAATTTAGCAAACGTCACAAGTTCATACAAGAAAAATCTGAGCAACCATTGCTAACGAAGAGGAGAAAATGAAACGGTTTCTTTTTTGTTTCTCTGTAAGCTTTCTCTATGGTAAATGCCAGGTGCAAAAGGCAGAGCTTATACTAATGATTGACAGGGCATTAAGATGGCAGTGCCCATTTGTAAGATAACAAGGTGAGGATTTTACACTTAATTTCATTTTTCATAACATGCACATATATATTTGTTAAATATAGGCATAAGTGAATAAAATATTAAAATCCTGCAAGGTTACAGTTTCCAATTAAAGGAACACTATAGGGTCAGGAACAAAAACAAGTATAGTGTTAAAACCACCATTTAGTTGGCTTACCCCCCACCATAGTGCTAAAACTCACCTTATTTCAAGCGTGGTGCTGGTCCACAGGCGCTGGCCCCGCTCTTGATCTGCCTCCTTGGTGATTTTTAGCCAATCCAATGCTTTTCACATCTGCAAGAAGGCGGGGCCAAATACCGTTTGGGCCAATCAGCACCTCCTCATAGACATGCATTGAATCAATGCATCTCTATGAGGAAAATTCAGCGTCTCCATGCAGAGCGTGGAGACCCTAAACAGCAGTGCTGCCTACTGTTTAGCACTTCCCCAGGAAGCACCTCCAGCGGCCATCTGAAAAGTGGCCACTGGAGGTGTCCTTAGAGTGCAATGTAAATACTGCCTTTTCTCTGAAAATGCCTGAAGGGATTGATTATACTCACTAGAACAACTACATTAAGCTGTAGTTGTTCTGGTGACTATAGTGTCCCTTTAACAATAAGTAATGCAATTATAATGCACCTAAATATCAACACAACAATGATATATATGCACACACAATGTTGCTGTACTTGTAAACAATTGTATTAATTTATTATCCTTCATTTTGTATAGAGAGCATCATCCTCATGTCCTCTTCCTTATGAAGATATAAAAATGAGGACGTGTCTGGAGAAAAAAGTTAAAGAAAAAGAACCTTCGTTGAATGCATCTAAGACAAGTGTCTATCTTCAGAAAAGACTAGGGAAAATTATTTATAGAGCAGACAGTGGCCTGCTCCCCAACTACAGTGGATATACACCTGGTACGCAAGTTATATTGTAAAGATTAACTGTTACCTGAAGTAATGTGAAAATAATTATAATTATTTACCTCTATACTAAGTTACCAGTTTTACAACAGTAGTCAAATTAGAAATTATTGTATGTCAAAACCAGTATATCAAACAGAGTTACATATCTAATCTATCTATTTGGTATACAATAATTTCAATATATATACTATATATCTATAAAACCATTTTCCATGAGGGCTATATCAGCATTTAATTTACAGTAGTGTTCAATAGTAGTAGTAATGAAATGTACTCAAGTTAAAATGGCATCTTGCATACATTACAGTCTAGTGCAGGGATGCCCAGATGCCATAGAACTACAACTCCCATGATCCTTTGAATTCCTTTAGAATTCCATTAGAATGACAAAGCATCATGGAAGCTGTAGTTTTAAAACATCTGGCGATCTACCATTTGGGCACTCCCATCTAGTGTGATCCAAGTATTAGACAAACTTGTGCTTTATGCCACAGAGTAATATGGTACCAAACTTATTATTGTCTTTATTTATTTAACAGGGCAGATGTTTGCGATTGGAAACACCTGGGGAAGAAGTACTATGAATGCTGTAGGGAAAATACATGTGCAGCCTTTCCTATTCACATCTCTTATCTGAGCCAATTTAATTACATGAAATTCTTAAAAACAAGATAATTCTTTATATATTTGTTCTAGAGAAACACTTTGATTATAAAATTATGTTTGGTGAAAAAAATAAATCAGAAGACTAATTACTAAAGTATTAAGAATTAAACGTGAATTATAAATTCCAGGTCAAAATGGCTGAGCCGTTTACGCTTTGTGTTTGCTACGCTGGCCTTAAATTTAAAATTCACTTTAAATTTTAACTTTAGTAAATAACCCTGTGTGAATGTAATTGTAATGTTTTTCTTTGACTTTTCATTCTAAAAATTTAATCTGTATCCTAAATACTATAATCATTTTATCATCTTGTAATATTTTCAAATACATCAGATAATGCAATGCATTACATCCCTCCCCAAATGTCAAATGACCAAACAGGGACACTTTCAGTTTCGAAGATGTAGCTGCAGGTGTAAACCAGAGACAGGGCAATTTCAAGATATTTTAGGTGTATTTATGACTCACTGTAAATGAAAATATATTTTAGAACAATATGAAATTGTATTTATTTTTATTGTTTTTATTTAGTTTTTTCCCCACATTATTTCTAAACATATTTATTGTAATTTAAAGACACATTGCTGTCAATGTTTTTGTTGTGAAGTTATGTTACCCACTCATACACACAAACAATTTGACGTTTCTACAAACGAAGGAATTTGGGGTAGAAAAATATTTTGGTTTACTTAAAATTCCCTATCCCTCTATTCATTGTTGGGATTTCCAAGCCCCTGGCAGTTTCTAAATTCTCATAAGATTTCAGCCTTCATCTATATGTAGAGTGTGAATAAAGGAAAGTCAATGGTGGTTCATAGGAAAGGAGATGGGAAATGGATTCTGAATGGAAGGAGGTTGATGACTACTTGGGGTTGTGTGAGTGATTACAGGGATGCCACTTCCATAAGGTCCCTTACAGCACCAGAGCAAGGGGCACAACAATCTGAATCTAAATTCAAATTGGATACTTGGATTTTTAAAAACCTGCCTCATTCTCTGCTGCATCCTTAGCTTCCTCTAGTCCCTGCATGGCTCCAAAGTGGAGGCAAAGCTGGCCCTCCAATGACGTCAGGAAAGTGTGACTTCTGACACTTTCACCTTAGATCCCCAGCAGTCCTGCCGGTAGCCTAGTAGATCAGATAGCAAAACAACAATTGGCCACCTTCCTGTAGAGCCGGACAGCTGCCTAGAAAACTTCTATACACCTACTCTGTCCCCCTGGGTTACCCTATCAGTGAGTTATGGGGACAAAGTGACCTTGTATTAGGGCAACAGAATGACACACCCTTCAGCCCATTTCCCCCATACATCCTGCAGCACTCATATACACACACACACACACTCTCTCTCTCTCGCTACCATCTACATATAACCATAATTCCCATGCACACACATACTACATAGCAAAGAACTCCATTCACAGAAAACCTAAACAGCCTCCAACTCTACAAGCGGCCTCCGCCCAACATGTGCAAACTCCATAGGTAGCATCCCTAGAAACATACATCAGAAGTACCCTCACACATCAAACAGTCACAAACCCAACTTATGCAAACCATCTCCACTAATAGTATATTTAGACTGAACAAATATGGTTTGTTTGGAAGGGCTGCCAGGAGAAATCCTCTTCTCTCTAAAAAGAACATGAAGCATGGCTTAGGTTTGCAAAGTTGCAATGTAAACAGACCACAAACCTTTGGTCAGATGACACCAAAGTAGAGATGAGAGCACCACATTTGATGCAAACAAAACAAAGCATATCAGCACAAACACTTCATATCAACTGTCAAGCACGGTGGTGGAGTGATGATTTCGGCTTGTTTTGCAGTCACAGGACCTGGGAACATTGTAGTCATTAAGTCTGTCCGACAAATACAGCTTGCCTGAAATTGGGTCATGCAAGAAGACAATGATCCCAAACACACAAACAATGTCATGTGTTGTTCATCTGAGGTTATATTTTCCTAATTTTAAGACATGCTAAGTGACAGAAAAGTGCCATCTGGATTATTCTTTTTGTATTTTTGCTTGACAAGCACCGGGCAAGTATATTAGGGATATATGGAGTGCAGGATTCTTTTTTTAGTTATATAGTTACATAGCTGAAAAGAGACTTGCGTCCATCAAGTTCAGCCTTCCTCACATTTGGTTTTTGCTGTTGATCCAAAAGAAGGCAAAAAAACCCAGTTTGAAGCACAATTTTGCAACAAGCTAGGAAAAAAATTCCTTCTTGACCCCAGAATGGCAGTCAGATTTATCCTTGGATCAAGCAGTTATTACCCTACATTGAAAGATTATATCCTTGAATATTCTGTGTTTGCAAGTTCTTTTATATATATATATATATATATATATATATATATTTGTGTTCGGGGCAAAATCGATATTGGTATTAGAAGAATGTGCTGTCATGTAAACCTGCTATAGGAAAAGTCCGTTGTGGTGTGCTGAAACCGATGATGCGGTAGGTCTGAAAATAAAGAGGGCCCACTCTTATAGAATATTAATGAATAGAGGGTATGGACGGAGGGGCATGCAGATCACCAGACCATTGACGGTAGGGTTGGAAATGGGGGAGTGCCTTTTATAGCTAATAAAAGCTTCTCCCACAATCCTAGGCAAAGTCTTAACATTTGTGTTCGAGGCAAAATTGATATTGGTATTACAAGAATGTGTTGTGACGTAAACCTGCTATAGGAAAAGTCGACTGTGGTGTGCCGGAACCGACGATGTGGTAGGCCTGAAAATAAAAGAGGGCAAAAAGGAAAATGCAATGCTGTATATTTATTTAGACAATGAACATAATACAGTGTATATTACATTACGAAGACATTTTTACAAAAGCCTGCTGCATTTTCATCTACCCAGTGATTTAATGATATGCACTGGTATGTCTTGGCTGGATGATGCCCCTATTCTGAAAGACTGGCCGGAACACTTACTAGGGTTCGCACCTAGTCTCATCAGTAGTAACTGTACATATAACATAAATGTTGAGGTCATCAGGATAGACCCATGTAATGACAGTAAAGGTTGTAATGGTAGTGGAGGTAGTGATAGAAGGTATGAATCCAAAACTTTAACAGGTCACCATTTATTGTGAGTAGGGTAATATGGGATATTGACTTGTTGGCCCAGTTGGCTAGTTTTAGTGACTGGTCGGAATAGTATGTAATGATCCTGATGTTTGGCCAAATGGGATCTTTTAAGACTATTTGGGAGTTGTTTCTGTTATTGGTAGTAAATTCCCGTGGCCTGAGAAACCCATAAAAAGCCAGGTAAATAGCTGTCTTGATAACTAAGTGTCACAGGATTCATACCCCAATATGCATGAAAGAGGAAACCCACAAACGGTAGATCCGAAAGACGTATTACCAAGCCTTAGAATGGCCACACTTAACGCATAATACAACAAGAAACAGGGTCAAGATAAAACATGAACAGGAATAGCAGAAATCAAGACAGAGTCAAGACAAAGCCGGGTCAGGATAGCAGAAATCAAGAGTCATATACAAAAGCCGAAGTCCGATACCAGAAATCACGAGTCAAATATGAAGCCGAAGTCAGGATACCAGAAAACACAAGTCAAATACGAAGCCGAGGTCAAAAACAGGAAATCACAAGGGAATCTCTAGGAGCACTAAACGAGGATCTAACAGAAACCACAATAGGGCAATGAATGGAGGCTAAAATAAGCCTTAAATAGGCTTACCTATGTTCTGATAGGTCCACGTCATCACTATGATCTAAAACAGATTAGGATCGCAATGATGACGTGGTCACTTTAAGAGTGGGTGTGACATCACGTCCACATCTATATATAGACGTCCTGCCGCACAGTTCGGTCAGACCGCACGACAGGAGGAGGTCTGCATGGATCAAGGGAGGTGAGTCTCCCTAAGTGTGCTGCACGGTCGTGTGGAGCGGCCAGAGGAGGTCTGCACGGCTTTGTTTTATGGTTGGGCCGCTGGCTTTTTGGATACCTTTAAGTATAGTCTTGTCGGATAGGATGATTGGAAACTGGAATTGTTCAGAAAAGCAGAGAACATGTGATGTTATATGGTGGTCAGGTATAACTTGATAGTATTGTGAAATAGTCTTAATTTAATTTAAGGTAGCAAAAAGTTGTGAATCTTACCAGTGATGTTATTTCAAACATGTTGGCTATGTTATGTTCAAATATGAACCTCTTATATAATGAGAGGGCCCTTTCATAGGATAGATGAGTATTATGTGATAGAGCCATTTGGGTCAATGCGTGGCTATGGGTCCACAACTCATCTAATGCATTATTAGGTCTTGAAACGGTGGCTAGTCGTGAGGCAGTAGGAAGGGTTTCCCAGAATGCCTGAAACTGAAAGCGAGATAACTGGTCAGCTGCTGCAGGGCCGTCTATAATATGAATATGACCCTGGGCAAAGAATTTTCTTGAGCCCCTTGGGCCCTGTCCCTACCCCCCCCCCCCACAATTACGACACAGACACATACACTGACAGATATACTGACACACACACACAGACATGCTGACACACACACAGGCATATTGACATACACACACACAGGCATACTGACATACACAGACAGACATACTGACACACACACAGGCATACTGACATACACATACTGACATACACCCACACACAAGCATACTGACATACAAACAGACATACTGACACACACACAGACACACTGACAGACATACTGACACACACAGACATACTGACATACACAAACAGAGACATACTGACATACACCCACACAGACATACTGACATACACACACATACACAGACATACTGACAGATACACACACACACACACAGACATACTGACATACACACACACAGGCATACTGACATACACACAGACAGACATACTGACACACACACACACACACACACAGACATACTGACATACAAACACAGAGACATACTGACATACACACACAGACATACACACACACAGACATACTGACATACACACACATACACAGACATACTGACATACACACACACACACACACATACTGACACACACAGACATACTGACATACACACACACACACACACACAGACATACTGACATACATTTAGGTTCTTACCTTTTTCTGGAGGGTGGACCGTCGGGTCCTTGGGGCAGCTGCTCTGGGGCTCCCCAGGAGCAACTGGGCCCGGGGCAGTTGCCCCATTTTCCCCCGCATTAAAGACAGCCCTGAGCTGCTGTATTGTATATACCTGGAACATGACAACATACTAAAAAAAATATTTACAGGCCGCTAACCAGGTCAGTCTCCTAACAAATCTCATCATGGTTAATGAAGATGAATGCCCCAAGCTACTGCAGTATATGCAGTATATATATATATATATAAATAGTAAGAGGCTTGCACTCACGGTTTTCAAAACCGTGAGTGCAAGCCTCTTACTATTTACATTTTATTATTGGCATTGGCTTCAAGAATGAACCCGGTGTTATAATTGTTAAAGTTAGTGTGCAAGGACTACTGAAGTTATATATATATTTATTTTTTATTTTTTTTAACTTCCTTTCATTATTTATTCGAGCTTACCATCTTATTGCAGCACATGTTGTAGAGGTTAAAGTGTCAAGTGAAGTCACTACATCCACCTGGCATGGACCAACAGCTGACGATACAAGAAAATGCAACATGTTATAGGCTCTATTCAACAACCTTACTAACTGTGGCATATACTAAGTTGTAAATCAGAATATAGTCCCATGCACTTATTCTCTACAATTTATACTATGCTTAACTCTCCAGTTGAGCCCTCCCTAGCACATTATATCAACAAAAGGGAAACTGAAACTGGAATCCAATGATCTCAAGGACAATGGTAAACATGTTTAATTTAAATCATAAATGCTATGTGTCCTTGTCAGGGCTTACATGGGGTTGGTTTCAGAGTGCAAAGACAATGCTCACCCTTGCAAAATATTACAGCCCACGGTAACGAGTTACATAAATCATCTGGAGAGTGAATATGTGCATGGGGGCTGTGCAGGACGGCAGATCCAGTAAATGCTGTACAGACCAGGGAAAATCCAAAATCAGAATATGAGACAAATCCAAAGTTCAGGGCCAGTAGCAAGTATGCATAAACCATAGTCCATCAATAGATGTACAAAACAAATAGAAGTATGTAGAATGCTACCAGAAATGGTAACAATGAACTGAACCTTAAGCTGATGTGAGGGGTGATTTAAAGCCAGTAAAGGAGCCCAGATAACTGCAGGTGAGTCAACAGGAGCCCCTTACACATCCCACCCGAACCCCAGAGATGCAGCTTAAACTGCAAAACAGACTGACACATATCAAACTGCAGTGGCTCCCAAGTAGTGAAACTAACCGGAAACTATGAGGACCAGAGTTCAAGTCCAGCTAGATCTCCTAAATGGTGGCCACACCTGTGAGTCTGCAGAGATGGGCCAAACTGTGACAGTCCTCTAGAGTTCAGAAATCTGCATTTAAGATTTTAACACGATGGTAACATATACCAAAACATCACAGAATCTTTACTACTGTTCCAAATCTCAAATACATTGTGATAGAGCTTGTGGCACTTTCCTCACCCTCACAAACCTTACATCAGATTCGCTCGAGATGTCATGTGGAGTTTGGCACTTCTGCACATATTTGGTGGCAATATAATATAAAACCTTTTTTGTCTAAGAATTTCATTCCGTCTATCTCTGGTGCTACGATGTCTTTATCACCAGAATCTTCATTTTCCACCATACTACTTTATCTCGTAAGAAATATAGTCATTCAATACTTCTATATTTCTAAATGAAGCCAAAACCTTAATCCCCTAACACTGGGGAAACTAAAAGTGATAATGTGGAATGTATTATAATGATGGTGGAGATTAAGTTCTCACGGAGCCAAAATTATGGTTTTTCCTTTTAGTCACCTTGGTTATTATTACCCAATTCTACATTGTGGCCCACACACTCCCTCTGAATGGACACACAATCGTATCCTCTGAAGGCCTTGATTTGTTTGCATGCCATCTATATTCTCCATTATTTCCTCACAGTGTTTCAATCTAATTCATACGCTGAATATTGTAACTGCCTGCACAAATTATGCTTTTCTATTTTGTTTTTTTGTTTTTTCTATTCTCGTTTTTTTCATTTTCTATTGGGTCCCCAAATATGACTTTTTCTTCTTGTACGTATACTATGCCATTGAACTGCAAGATATTTTTAGCTCATTTTTTACGTATGTTATTTATCCATGTGTGTGACCATTGGATATTTGTTACTGTGCTTGATGCAACATGATCTTTTCTGTAATGGTCATGTTAAAACTCAAAAACAGTCACATACCTTGATGAAGCTCTCCTGTCTTTGTGGAGTTCCCAAATCACTAAAGATGTTATATTTCTTTATGACGAATGTTGCTCTAGAATCCGTTAGTATGTTCCAGACAGTTGTAGAAAAGCATAGCTTTAAAAATCATATGAGGTCATATAATAGTTGTTCACCCTGCGCTCTACTATAATTAGAACTATTGTGCAAATATTCTACACATATTCTTCTTCCTACTCATGCCATAAAAAAGAACCAGAAAGACAGATTATCTATAGACACATATAACTATCCACTTGTGTGTTCTGTAGAGATTATATCAAGCAATTTTTTCCTTTCTCAATTAGTTTAGACTGGTTTATTTGCAGACTTCTGCAACTACCCAGCTGTCTTCAAAGCTTAGAGTCAACGACTCTTTTTCCAACCTTTCCAGTATTGTAACTATGGACTCAGCCTAGTTCCTGCCGTGTACTGCCTTTTACATAAACGTCCACTACTATTTGTATACAGGCTTTGGGTGAACGTTTCATAAAAGGACATGACAGGATATGATAGCAAGAATGGAACGACAAATGCCTAATGTCTTAGCAATGGAAACAAACACATCCTTCCACATATTATCATGGTGTGATAATTTGGATTATAGAAGAAATTGCTTCAACTGGGAAATATACCTACACAAATTACCAAAAGTACAAGGTATTGCTGGATGCTTACACCATAGCCATTTGAAAGTTAGCCTGTTGCTAAGAGGAGAGTCCACCCTTCAAAATGAGGTCCCCTCCTATGGCTCAGTGGTAAAACAACTTATTTATTGACTATATGTCGATGACTGCACCTAGTCTTTTGTGTGTTCCTCTTCTATTTGTCCATTTGTCCATCCCTCTTTCTCCCTGTACGTTTTAAGCACCACTCACTGCCCTCATATAAAAAATGATATTGTTTTAGGGAGTATTGCACAAGTATGATCACAATAATAATCTATGGCTATATTTGGATATCAAGGCTGATAAAAAAGAATAACAATGTAATTCAAAATTAAAATAGTGAATACACTATTGTTAGTAAGCTAACAATAATGGGAAAAATTACAAACATAATGGAGCTGTATTTCCATAAATACATTTTTTACTATAATTTATTATGCAATAATATAATTAAACACAGTAATTGATTGATCTGACACTGAATTAGTAGACAGAACCTAAAAGCTTTTGACTTTATGTAAACATTAGTGAAGACACTATAATCAAAATAAAGTGACATGCCAATCAAAATCTAATTTAGAAAGCTACACTTTGGTCATAGCGATCCCTGGTTTACAAATGTGCATGTATATAAACAAACAACATATACATAAAAAATATTCTGTTTATTTGTTGCAGCGGGAGGGATGATGCAACCAGGCAAATATGTTAAATATATATTTTAATCTAGCAACATTATTTTGAAATCCATCATATAAAAAAAAAGAAAAAGAAAAACCAAATACAATAATTTTCTTAAATGCTCTGATTATAAAACAGTACAAATTTACATTTGACTTAAGATCTAAGCGTAAAAAACAAATGTATATTTTTTGCATTTTTTATTACTAGTAGCATACATTTATTTATATTGTGAACAAATGATAAGGAAAACTGAACGCAAATGATGATTAATTTGTAAAATATTATTGTGTCCATATTTTGTTCCTTGAAGGAGGAGAATCCACCATATCGCCGTATGTAGGCTGCATATTCGTGGTGAGGTATGAGGAATAATAAGGCGACTGAAGCATAAGATCTTCAGGGTGGAAATAAGCTGCAGTCTAAAGTGAAAAAAAAAAAATGATTGCTTATTTCATTAATTCCAATTAACTATCAGTGTTACACTGTTACAACTGTAATATTTTTTTTTAGTTCACACACGTTAGGAAAAAGAGGTCTAGAGCCTGCACCAGCCTCCTGTGTGAGAGAGAATGGCAGGGACATCATCAGTGACACGATCCATTTACCAAAACCACTTCATCAAGCTACCTTTGTTTTGGTGCTTAGATTATCCCATTGATTTTATCGAGAGCCGTGTAACCCCAGACTAGCTCTATTACCTGCACTCCGTGGGACACTTTGCATTAGAAATCGTATCTCTACTACAACAAATCATGCAGACAGGGAGTAGAAATGTGAGATATCCTGACAGGGAACATATTAACTATTTCCCCCTTATGACCCTTGAGACCTCTTTGATACAGACGTATGAGTGTAGTAAGAGGTAGTCATTTAGAAATTACATTCCCAAAAAGTCATCAGTACCTTAAGACCCTCCAGAGATAAAATGTATGAAATAAGCACATATTAATTATTTTTATACAAAATATTCTTTCCTGGGTAGGTTCATCACCCGTGGCTAATCATTAAGCTTCTATCCCCCCCAAAGAGGATCTCATCAGCTTGTAATTGATACAAAACAGGTTTTGTATTTATAACTATTCAGAATGTACCTCCATAGAAATTAACGCAAGCTGCCCAAACAAGTTAGGCTTACAGGACATCCGTTATGGCTATAGTAAGCAAATCCCATGTATCACTGTTATAATCTGTGTCCACAAAAAAATATATATTTTTTTTAACACTAGACAATATACCAACATACCAAAGGCGGGTATTTATAGACCACAGAATTGTTAACATCAATGGGATAAAGGCTTTGTGTGTCGGCATTCCTTGCATTGACGAGCCGGATATACAATTCTGTATTTTCCAACTAAAAAGAGATACAAATTGAATTATAAATATTCCGTTACAAGAAAACAAAAAGGATCGTATCATGTTTATTATTTTTCATTCTCAGAAAGATAGTGGTTTACTAAAGCTATTCTTAACAATTAAACATGCTATCAAATTAAAAATACGGGTAGACTGAAAATCAAACTTCACATGCTTTCAATATTATTTATCAAAGTGTCAATTGTAAATTCAAAATTAATTTTAAATATTAAGCTGTGATTGACAATTTTCTTTCCTAATAAGCTGTTTTCAGTTTAACTCTCTTGGCCTAAAAATTTATATTTTTAATTCCTGATAATTCACACTAAAGTTGATACTAACGGTATTATAAACATTTATAACATTTTGCACCATAATAATTTACTGAAGATATTATACATATATTTCCAGGTGAGTATTTTGTATAATTATTCCCCAGCTTTATTTTTGATTGTATAATATTGTAACATTGTTTGTGTCATTAGTAGAGTTTACTAAAGTGAATAACCCTGTTTGTGTTTTCTATTTTATGACATATTAATGATGACTTCATAGACATTACATCATCATACACAGCTTCATGCAAGGTAAAATCTGTTATCCCATAACGCCCCTTTGGACATTTCATGCCATTATGGAAATAGTTGGCTTTAACTTCCTCCAAGAAGGCATGGGGTGTCCTGTAGTTTTAGCTGGAGCAGGTTCACAGTTTTCAATGAATAGCAGGGGCTTCCCTCTGTCAGCAAAGGCCAGATTTAGTGGATGTTACAAGTGTCACATGCCAGTAAACAGCCTAGCTGAAATTTCCCATCCAGCGTTGCCATTATGATGTCATCACTGATATTGCTTTGAGCAGGGGTTATCGTAAGAGGAACCGCAGGTAATGAAACCCCCTTTAGGGTTTCTCAGTACCCCCTCAAGTACCTGATCACACTGCTTGTTTATTTTAGTGCCCAAATGTACTGTGCCCATCTATCACAGCAGAACCTGAATTTGTTACCAAATGCTTATATCAACATTATCTCAGGACCTTTTTTTCTTTTTCTTTCTATTTCAACTTACACTTAAATATAATATAAACTGAAACCTAGACCTTTAGAGTAATACTTAGTGAGTTTATACATTTATATAGACAGGATACTTTACTTAAAGGGACACTAACTACATTTTTGGGCTAGAGCCCCAGGTGTTTTTTGACCCTAGCAACACCCCTGGTTTCCAATAAGAGCAAATTGTGTATGCATAAAAGCCTTTTTAAGTTTTGTCCACTAAAAGGTCACATGGAAGTGATTTTCACTGCAGATTAAATCACATGACATATTTTTCTATAAAAGGAGAACATACCTGTGGTACTCCATTCAGTGCCCCTGTAGTGAGAGAAGGTTTGACGGGAAGGATACGAATTGGAACTTTCCACTGTCCGCTAATGACCCGATTTTGATAATCAAAAATGTCTATTTTCACCCATCCTCGAGGAATTAAACGACTGACTTCTTGGCCATAAGGATCATATCCTCCTGATGCCTGAAGCTCAATAATCAATGATATATTTGGAGATGGCCGTACTCTAGTGTGCGTTTATGAATAAAGAATGTTAGAATAATGAATAAAAGAGTTACATTCATTGAAAAGAATGCTCCTAAACATGTTTTAAAGTGCATCTTTTAAAATGGATCTGTCTCCTAGATTTAAAATATACTTCACTTAATTACAGTACACCTGTTGTATTTTTATTAAAGACATTTTTTTTTTATAAATAATAATTAATGCACAAGCCTCTTCATAATTCCACTAACAGGAGATATTTAGACACACTGATGCAAAAGAAGCCCATGTGCTTCAACCTCCTACACGATATCGTGCTCGAAGGCCTGTGTGCTTACAATATGCATTGGGACAAATGTTTGCGGGGAGAATATACCAGTAAAAAGTTACAGAAACATAATTGTGCTACTTTAGGAAGTACTGCTTTGCACTCAGCATTTCAAAACAGATATTAGAAGCCATACTTTACAGTCACTATACAAAACAACGAGTATACAGGGAGTAAAGTATAGAACACAGACAAAATGTTAGATTGATGGGAAGCAAGATGTCATTAACTGAGATCTGCCCTTAGGATATATTTAATGAAATGGCTATTTTTTATGGTAACTATATTTGTCTTGCTACTTTTAGAACTACACATGAGAAAGCGTCACTAGATTGCATAATTTACTTTGTTATTGTTATTTGGGAGTACTTACCTGGGGACGGCTTGCTTCGTGGCTAAAATAGCTATGTTCTGTTTTTTGCTCTCACGAAGCTTGGATGCAGAACTTTCACAATAAATTGGGGGGAGGGGTGAAGGACTTCCCATCTCCAGACCTCCATTGCAAAGACTTACAGCTAACCGGCATACTCTGTAGGTTGGGTCAAGCCCAAGTATGTAGTCATAAAACACAACAAACCCAGTGCTGCAGGTAAAGAAAAACATAGTAGGCATGTTTTCTCATGTGTATTAAACTATGTGGAAAAATATATTCAACAGTTATAGTGGCAACACTTACATAGGATCATACGGGGCAGGTTCCAACCCGTGACTGAATATCTGTAAATGTTTAGAAAGGTCTGGAGTGTCAGGCCTGTCTTCTTCCTGTAGAGCAGGAGTCACTTTTTTTTTTTATAGTTTTTGATATTAGCACATAGCATAATCATATCACACATATTCACAAACTGCAGTTACCATTGGAAGAACTGAAAGGGCCTGTGGAATGGCTCGACGCGTAGCTGAGGTTTTTACGCGACGCTTCAATTTCTGAATTTGCAGTTCTTGCTTTAACACTTCCAATTCTGCATTTAGAGTCTTTATATTTTGACGGGTATTTTCTCTCATGAACTTTGGCAATTGTACACTTTTCTCGACTTCAGCTGCAATGAGAAAATAACCAACACAAGAAATGCAGAAGGTGGAGAAACAGAGACAGGGAGATTTATTTTAAATGTTTAGTGCTCTGAATCCAACTTCAACAAAATTATATTAGCAAATACGCATTTATCATTATCATTTCCTAACGTGTATATCTTCCCATTTCTAAAAATTATTTACACCAATTTTTTAAACAACTACTGGTCTTAAAGGACCACTGTAGTGCCAGGAAAACATACTCGTTTTCCTGGCACTATAGTGCCCTGAGGGTGCCCCCACCCTCAGGGTCCCCCTTCCGCCGGGCTGGATGGCGAGGAAAGGGTTAAATCTTACCTTTTTTTCCAGCGCCGGGCGGGGAGCTCTCCGCCTCCTCGGCTGAATGCGCATGCGTGGCAGGAGCTGCGCGCGCATCCAGCCAGTCTCATAGGAAAGCATTCATAATGCTTTCCTATGGACACTGGCGTCTTCTCACTATGATTTTCACAGTGAGAAGCACGCAAACGCCTCTAGCGGCTGTCAATGGGACAGCCACTAGAAGCTTTAGAGGCTGGATTAACCCTATTATAAACATGCTATGTTTATAAAAAAAAGGGTTAATCCTAGAGGGACCTGGCACCCAGACCACTTCATTAAGCTGAAGTGGTCTGGGTGCCTAGAGTGGTCCTTTAAAAGTATCAATCCCTCCATTCATCTACCCACCCACTCACCAATTCAAAGTCAAGTGGTTCATAAAGTTAGTGGAATAGACTTAAGCGTATGATGGTATGTAATGCAATAAGTACTATAGCCTAATCCTGGATGCATAACTGCCTTCTAAATCCAAAAAACTTTGGGATTCACAATTTAACAAAACTTAGCTTTTATTTTATTTTAAGTGTGCCCATAAAAAGATCATATATATTTATTTTTCTTCTTCTTTTTTTTTTTTTAAATGCCAGTTTTTCTCAAGCACAGCAAGTGCTTACAGCTCCAATCAGAAAAATGTGTATTTGGAAATCTGTTCAACTGGGCACACATACTGGGTAAGAAATTATCTAACATCAAGTGTCCTTGGCAAGGGCTTGGATTTAAAAAAAGACGTTGATATATAGTTTTTCTTACCCAGTGTGTGTAAAGTTGAATGGATTTCCAAATATAATTTTCTTCTGATTGGAGCTTTAAGCACTTGCCATTTTTAAAAAAAAAATCGTATTTATTTTACTAGTTATTTTATTATTCTCTCTTTTTAGAAATGTTGTATCAAAACTTTTGTCAGCTAACACATGAACTCACTTGCCAGCCATAAGCAACCCTTGCAAACTTTTAGTGGATGCCAGAAAGTAATGAACATTATGAGCAGTGCTTGATAGAATATATTTATATCTCCTGAGTCATATGAATCATATAAAACCGAGTTCCAAAACCCTGTGCCAACTTCACTACTCAAATCAAGTCTTAATTCTTACACAATTTACCGTCCCCCACAGGACCTCCGGGAGTTGCAGGAAACAAAAGTGTTGCGCAATCTTTGCCAAAACAGCTGAATTATAACAAAATGTCCAACTCAGTGCAGTTACAAGTTCTTTGAAATTGTAGTACAGTTCATAATCCTTGACTGGAACACTGGACCCATGTGTTGGTTTTACTAGGTCCCTACGGAATAGGTCAGGCACATAAAAGTCATTAGGCCCAAGGCACAATATATTGTTTATGGCAGTTAGAACTGCCTTCTCCAATACAGCAGAGATCCAGGAGGAGTGTATAATAATGTTGTTTGGCAGAACTTGCCTTTGTATTAGATGTGAAATTGAAAGATGGTTCACAAAGCTAATGTCTTCATGTACATAATGTGGTCCTTTACTCGATTATTTGAGTCTGTTCTCTATTTGTACCTCCCCAGAGGTTCTATATGTTAACCACAGCTTTCCTAATAATCAGAACTACATTTGGGTCCATATCTATTGTTGTTATGTTGCTGATCTATACTTTGCATGTGGATCTTCGGTTACCCTGACATGACAGTATTAAAATGGTATAACGTTTTTTTTTTTTTTTTTTATACAGCTTATCTTGTTTCTCAAGTGATTTCATTCTCTAAAAATATAAGATCACACTGACGATAATAATGAGCCAATTCCACTAACATATGAGAACATCAGACATTTAACTTTTATTTTCTTTCAGTCTTTTTTTCCAGTCAAAACTTACCCAAAGCTGATGGGACCCAGCGACTATCATCCCATTTGTCCCCTGGAGGCCTGACTCGGACGCTTACTCTGCAGCCACAACCTGAGGTCGCTTGTGGACTACCCAGACCCACTCACTTAGAGTCGAGACACTTATGTTTTCTATTTTACAAGTTTGTTTTCTTTTCGTTATAAAAGTTTTGAAATTTTTGATAAGGCAAACGTGCACTCCACAATCAGATTGGTTGGCCTTTTAGCCAACAACTGACCCTGCCCCCTCCCTCTACCCCCCTCACCTCCTGTCTCAATTTGAGCCTAGTTGAGGGCCCCATTATCTTGAATGTGCAGAGGCATTACTCCTCTCAGTACGCAGTCTCCTAGGTATTGGACAACTGAAAACCATATTCAATGTTACACTCGCCTTAATCCCTAAATTTATCTATCTTGCCCCTGTTGGCTGGCCCGACTTTGCAAGGGTAACACTAAGTTGAACCCATTCCATAAAGCCCCTAGTAGGCTGAACCGAGCCGGTAGTACCAAAGTCCTATTAAAAAACCTTAGCTCACTATCGACACCGATACTGTTTATTTTGTATTGTAACGGTTGACATTTGATGTAATACCTGCATGACAATATTTATTCTATGACAATTTCCTCATAATTTGTTAGAATGAGGATCAGTAAATAAAAAAATTAAAATTAAAATTAAAAATTACCGAAAGCTATACCTGGTTTATTTAAACCTGCCTATATCCTAACATTGCTTCTGCTTCACTAGTGCTGATGTTTCTGTTTTTATTTCTGTTGTGATCCAGTTTGTCAAACTACCTGATCAACCGATTGTTGTTTTATTCTTTAGTCAGTTTTCTATAATGATCTTCTGGTTTGTGTATCCCCTATCTCCCTATACATCTAATGCCAGTTTATCTTGACTACACTGAACTTCTAGTGGGTCAAGATGTTAGCCAGGATCCTTGTGGATCACACACAAATTCCACAACTACTTAAACGCTATGGCTCAATTTGAGCGAGAAACAGATGGTAAACCATATCATTTGAGAATCACAAATAATATCAGCAAATCTCTTCACTGCTATATGAAGAAATTAATCTTATTTATTTCTGTTTCTTAAATATGTTTACAGTTGTAAAATAAATTGTATTCGAGTAGCTGCTGTTCCGTTAACTCATTTCAGTACTCTTGCCAAACTGTTTCAAATCAAAACGTGATAGAGCTATTCTAAGCCTTGTGCAAATTTCCTTCATATTGTGATGCAGTGGTGTGTGAAGCAACCTCTGTTAGATTTAAAGAAGTGGTATCTGTTTATAAGGGTTTATAGTTTAGATATCTTTATCAACTGTAACCAAGAGCAAGCTACATTATTGTTTGCATACATAAGACACGCTATGACAACAATTGTTTTTCTTTGGTGCACCATCTACTATATCAAATGTCTATAGACATGGTGCAAATGTTAATTTTACAGTAACATTATCCTTTATTATTTTTATCAGTAGAATACATGTGTTGCTTGGTACCTAAATGTATCAAAAGTCGTATTTACATCTTCCCCATCAGAAATTGTGTATGTCTTTCTTAATCTAAAGCAGGCAAGCAATTTACATAAATGTGGGGTGAAACTTAAAAGTCGCACATGCGGAGGTATGTACTATTAAAGCGGTAAGTTACAATCTATTGTTAATTAACTACATGATAAAAGGGACTCTAAAAACACCCAGACCACTTCAGCTCATTGAAGTGGTGCAGTGTCCCTGTCCCTGTCCCCGCCCCCCTTATTTCTGCAATGTAAATAATTGCAGTTTTAGAGAAACTGCAATAATTACCTTGCAGGACTAAGACTGCCTCTAGTGGGTAGGCGCCTGGGAGGGCTGTCCGGATGAAAATATAGTATAGGGCAGGGGTTCACAATTAATTTTTCCTGTGGAACTCTTTGACATAGTGAATCAACATCGTGGAACATTTGCTATATATATATATACAAACTAATTTCTACAGACCGTAAACAGATTGTAGTACTTAGGAGCAGGTGTATAGAGTTGGTGTTTGTATATACAAATACAATGACACACAGATATACACTTACAGATACACTGACACACAGATACACACACTGGCACAATGATACACGCATTGGCACATACACACACACACTCTGACAGATACACTGACACAGGCACATACCACACAGATACACACTAGCACATACACACACTGACATACACACACACATTGAAATACACACAGATACACACTGGCAGATATACACTGAAATACAGATACACACACTGACACAGGTACACACACACGCACATGCTTATATTTGCAGTCACCCTCCTGTTCACTTACTTTTTTTCTGCAGGACTTCCTTTAGTGCTGCTGGCTGAGGTTGGTGGGCTGCTCAGTCCCAACTGCTTTTGCCCTCTAGCCGCATGCTCTATCCTACATGGGCCCGATTGCGATGTTAGACAGCCACGGCACCTGACAAGACCCCTGTTTAGCGATACCCATCTGGTGGCCCTACATGCTTGGGCCACCCGATGGGCAAATCGCTGCGGAACACCAATTGTGAAACGCTGGTGTGAGGAATACAGATTTGTATTCCTTTCATTATAGCATTCCTTTACATGGTTACTCCAAACATCATAACCATATGATGCCAGTAGTATTCTGGCCAGTTTCTTGTTAATGGGGCAACTGTTTAGCAATGGTTTGCTCCCTTACCTGGGTTCCCACTGGGCTCCAAGGCTCCTACAAATGTCATGGTAATATATATTATACACATGGAGCAAAATATACAACTGAGTGCATATAGCATAGTGTATTTGCAATTATAACCTTGATTTAATATTGTTATATAACCTTTTCAAATAATTAAATATTTTTGGATAAAATTAAAATTACTTTTTTCCCCCCAAAATATTCCAATATTGAAAAAAAATTATATAAAAATATGTCAAGCAATATCAAAATACTAAAAAAAAATCAAAATATGTATCATAATATTAAAGGGTTACTCCAACTACCATGACCAGCTATTTGAAGTGGTCATGGTGGTAGTAGTCAGGATATGCAGTGTTGAAGTTTGAACAGCTTGAAAGTTTGAAAGCTTGTGTGCTGGGGACTTATTACACTCCTGGCACAAGTGACATTGGCAGCCTGGACCTATCTTCTGAACTGCTAAATGTCAATTTTGTAGCTTTGTTAATCCCCCCGAACTCCTCTATGTGGTCCCTCCATCTCCCTCTATTGCAATTTTTTTTCCCTCTGTGCCTTCCCAGTCCCTTCCCTCTCCCCTCGCCGGCTCAGAGCGTGCATGCACTTCTCTACGTTACAGGTCAGTAGATGGAGGAGGAAGATCAGTGCCGGAAGCTTTGCCTGGTACTGGACCACAGGTAAGTAAAAAAAAGTTTGTTTTACCATTTAATAGGGGGATGACCTAGCTACATATGCCCAATAGGGCATTTTAAGGTTACAAAAAAAACATTAGTTTAAAAAAAAATCCTATAAATCATTTGAATAGCTTATCCTAAATATTAAATCATTTGAATAGCTTACCCAACAATATTAACTTGCAAAAAAATTCAGAAATGTTATTCACTTAAGTTAAAAACTGTTTTCTTATCTGTAACTTGATTGTTTAGCAAGTAATTAAAGTTATGCCAACCAAATTTTTTTAAAATAATCATCAACATTAAATAATCTTCTATTTATGCCTATTTAAATGAGAAATACATTTTGGTAGTGAAGGGTTTAATAATGCTGAAGCAATCATTAACCCACCACTGTTCCAGTACTGTTTGACACAATGTTTTATCATTATTCCACAGGTGAAAAAGAGTCCTATACCTTCAATACCCAATTTTTGGTGATCACAACCCTTTTGCAGAAGAGTTATCTAAAATGTAAGGAGTAATTCAATCAGGGACGTATTAGCCGCGAGGCAAACAAGGCAAGGCCGCCCCCAAATGCCCAGGGCAAATGCCTTGTTAGCCTCGCGGCTAACAGACATGCCGAGCGGGCGGCTGGCGAGGGAGCTCTTCCTCTGAACTGACTGCTCAGCTCCCTCACGCGCCGACAGCAGAGTGAGTCTGGAAGCCGGAAGATGACGTCATATTCCGTCTCCCAGCCTCACTCTGCGGTGCGCGAGGGAGCTGAGCAGTCAGCTCAGAGGAAGAGCTCCCTCGCCAGCTGCCCGCACAGCAGCCAGCGCCGCCTGCCTGACCGGCAGCCACTGGACCACCAGGGAGAGAGAGACCCCGCACCCCAGCACTCCCAAAGGTAAGGAGGTTGGGAGGGCAGGGGATTTAAAAAAAGTTAATGTGAGTGATTGTGTGTGTGTGTGTCTGACTGTGTGTGTTTGTGTCTGACTGTGTGTGTGTGTTTGTGTCTGACTGTGTGTGTGTGTGTTTGTGTCTGACTGTGTGTGTGTGTTTGTGTCTGACTCTGTGTGTGTTTGTGTCTGACTGTGTGTGTGTGTGTGTTTGTGTCTGACTGTGTGTGTGTGTTTGTGTCTGACTGTGTGTGTGTGTGTGTGTGTTTGTGACTGTGTGTGTTTGTTTGTGACTGTTTGTGTCTGACTGTGTGTGTGTGTTTGTGTCTGACTGTGTGTCTGTGTGTTTGTGTCTGACTGTGTGTGTGTGTTTGTGTCTGACTGTGTGTGTGTGTGTTTGTGTCTGACTGTGTGTGTGTGTGTGTTTGTGTCTGACTGTGCGTGTGTGTGTGTTTGTGTCTGACTGTGTGTGTGTGTTTGTGTCTGACTGTGTGTTTGTGTCTGACTGTGTGTTTGTGTGTGTCTGACTGTGTGTGTGTGTGTATTTAGAAGGTGGGGCGGGGGGAAGGGTTGGGTGGGGGTGGCGCGGGGGAGGGGGGCACCTGAGTTTTGTCCTGCCTAGGGCAGCACAAGCCAGGATACATCACTGAATTCAATACTTGGCAAATTCAGCACTTAAATGGATTTGAAACATTACTAAAAAAAAACTTCAAACAATTAACAAATACCCCAAAACATTAACTTATCAGAACATCCACCACAAAAACCTTAATTTTTCACCAAAAGACTCATGTCTTATAAGTCTTAAAAGGGCGCAGTGTAATACATTTTTAAAACAGTGACAGGGGGAGGAATGTGCATACTAGCCAAGATGGACTCAGTCTTCTCATTTACCTGTGGTCCAGTGAGGCGCTTCTGTAATCTGGCTTGGGTCATCGCCAGTCATTGGCTGAGAACGCGGACTACTCTCAGCCAATGACTGACATTATGCGCAATGAAAGTTGCACATAATTGACATTTTACAGCCCAGGACTTGGAGTTGGTACATGCAGCATTTCCAAGCGAAATGCTCTACATATAGTTCCCAGGCAATACGGTCACTTCATATTCCTGAAGTGGTCACGGTGCTTGAAGTTACTTTTTAAGTGCAACTTCCTTGTCATGTTATAAAATTCAGACACAGCCCAGTCAAGTCCCACCCCATTATCTAAGCAATTAGGTGTTCATCACACATATTGCTGGCCAGAAATTCAAGTTAAAAATATATATTTTCAGTAGGACACATAATAAAATGTTTTGTCTCCTACATCTGATTTACTCCAGACATATACACTTTCATGTTGGGGTTTCTTTCTTTTTCAGAGCTATAATTTCTCTGCCTGTTCTATGATGGGTCTGTGTTCTTGTTTGCTTCTAATATAATGCTCACCATTGCCTGAAAATGGACTGGTGTCTACAATTCACTGATTGTCTTATGACTTCTGATCTGTCCCTGACTACTAGCCTACTAGTTTAGATCCATTTGGTTCAGTTTGTATCTGGATTAAATTTGGAGCACAATCTCTGGTGACATTGTCTTTGGAACCTAATCCATCTAAAAATATTGTATGCTGCTTTCCATATATCGTATGCTTTAACTGAGCCATTAGGACACATGTAAACAAAATAAAATACGCTCAGTTACCTCCATGGGTTGTCCAAGGAAGCCTGCTATTTTTCTGTCTTTGCAGCTGAAGTTTGAAGAGTTGTTCCTCTAATTGTTGGTTTTCAATTTCAAGATTGATTAACTTCTCATTCATGTGCCACTTTACTGTCCCATGTTCTCCTAAATACACAGAACAGTACAGTCTTATGACATCCAGTAATATAGAACAACTTAACAGGACAAGATGATTTTTCTATTGTTCTGGAAGAACACATACCTTTGGGTGCTTGGTGACCACAAAACAGTAACTCTGAAATTCTACTCTCATAGATCCTGCTCAATTATGTGCTATACTCTACCTTTTTAAATCTAACTTTAGCAAAGAATCCTGTTTGATTATTATTATTATCGGCATTTATGTAGCGCCAACAAATTCTGTAGCACTTTACAATATTTTAGGAGGGGGAGATTTAACAATAAATGAGACAATTACAAAAACTCACAGGAACAATATGATGAAGAGGACCCTGCGCAAACAAGCTTACAGTTTAGAGGAGGTGGGGTATAAACACAGGAAGACAGGAGATCACAATCAAGCAAGGTGGGAGTGAGGCAGGAGGAGTGAGTAGAGTGCTGCCCTTTAGGAGAGAGCAAGAGGTATGTGAGGCTATAAGCTTTCCTAAAGAGATGGGTTTTAAGGCACTTCTTAAACGATTGAAGACTAGGGGAGAGTCTGATGGCGGTAGGCAGGCTATTTCAAAGGAAGGAAGCTGCCTGCGAGAAGTCCTGCAAGCATGAGTTGGCCGTCTGGGTGCGAGCAGCAGACAGGAGAAGATCATCGACAGAACAGAAAGACCGAGATGGGGCATACTTATGGATCAGTGATAAGATATAGGAGAGGGTAGAATCATTCAGTGCTTTATAAGTGTGGATTAGTACTTAGAATTGACTCCTATTAGATACAGGAAGCCAATGTAAGGACTGACAGAGGGGTGAAGTGTGAGAGGAGCTACTGGAGAGGAAAATCAGTCTACAGGCAGCATTCATTACAGATTGTAGCGGGGCAATGCGGCTTCTGGGAAGGCCAATTAGAAGAGGATTTGGTGACAGACTGGATGTGAGGTTCAAAGGTGAGGCCAGAATCAAGTATAACGCCAATACAACGTGCTTGCATGGATGGACTGATGAGAAGGGGATCAGTATTAGGAGGAGGAAAGACAAGGAGTTCAGTTTTAGAGAGCTTGAGTTTCAAAAAGCAGGAAGACATCCAGTCAGAGATGAAAGAAAGGAAATTAGTGACACGTTGTAGGACAGCAGGGGAGAGGTCAGGGAAGGAGAGATATATCTGGGTGTCATCAGAGTACAGGTGGAAGCAGAATCCAAACAAATGAATGAGTTTGCCAAGATAGGCAGTATAGAGCGATAAAAGGGGACCAAGAACTGAACCTTGAGGGACTGAAAAGGCCTGACTGAATGTATGCCTGACTATCCTGCACTCCACACATTGAGATGGTGAAGAGTCCCCTACCAGGTACTCTAGACACACCAATGAATCAGTAGCCCTATACAAACAGAATCCAGAAAATGCCTAGATCCTGGTTTGTGTGCCAAAAGGGCTGGGGTGGTAAAAAGGATAAAAAGTAGTACAGGAAGAGTAACCTGCATTCAATCCTTGCAGATTGTGAAGAAGCAGTAAGAAAAACATTTGCCAATACTTCTAAGGCATAAATCACAACTTCCAACTCTTTTGTGAAACTTGCAGATTTGTAAAATGCTAAGCAAATTCACCATTTTGTGCACATCACTGAGATCGCTCTTGTGGAATATTAAAGGGAGAAGTGATTTTATAGATTATTTTGAGGAAAAGACTGTAGCATTTGGACAGTTTTCTTATTACACCATATTAACCTTATTATCATAGCTCTAAGATGCTTCTCTTGTATTTAATTAATAACTTTCCTATTGCTAGAGTTAATAACAGAATTACTGCCATGTAAGTTTGTCCAATGGGAGGTATGTAATTGGGTGGGGGTGGGCGGACCTTGGGTGGGGAGTGCCTATGATGCAATCTGTGTTGCTGGTAAAGCCCAAAATAGGAAAGAGAACAGACCATGCAGAAAGTGCACTCTTACAGTACTTTATTTATGATCCTAGTGCCTTTAGCACAGCAAGAATGTGTCCAATGATGCGCTCACACTGTGCTGGCTGAGGATAGTTTACCTAGACCACATGGAACAAAACCAGGATAGAAGGACAGGACTCTGAAACTGGTGCTTTCCTGTGTAAATCAGGACTATTAGAAGGTCAGCAATATCAATAAAAGTAAAAAAAAAAAAAAATGTCAATAGAAACTCTAATATTTAGTTGCAAGGGCAAAACTAGTGTTAATACTAGTATTGTAGGGGAACAATGCATAGTCAAAAAATCCACTACAAAAACATTAGCTGTGTAATGCTGACCCTGCAAGACAGATCCCTGGCTCACTATGAACAGACATTTAATTGATGTGACTAGAGAGCAAAGCTATGGCTTTCATTAGATAATTGCACTAGAACAAATGTTTCAAAACAAAGACTTGTGTACTGAAATTCTGAAATAATAGCCATCGACCCTGACTGAAACAGTAAATAATTAATTACTGCATGTTCTGTGACCTCTAAATTCTTTCAAGCAACATTTTCACTATGCTAACAACCTGCGTTGTAAATGATTTTCTGGTAAATTAACCAGTGTGCTACATACTTTTGGTTTTCTTGCGAATTGGTCGCATTCGTTTTTCTCGTTGTTCTATCATCTGTGCTTCTGTTAAAAGTTCCTGTAAGTGTGCTAAGATCATACGATCATTTCCTCCATTTTGCAGGTAAGTCAGACGCAAGGCACTGAGCACAAAGACAATAATCACTTTATTAAGTAGACTTTTTTTCATTTCACCTTCACTAAGTATAAATATCCTAGTAAAATGGAATTCTCCACACTAACCAGTATAATAAAGTGGTTTTGGTACCTAGAAGTTTACGCACTATGTCAGAAAGTGGAGAGAAAACTGACCAGATAATTACACAATTTAGATCAAAATAGCTTAGGGATGATATGATATTTACAATGCCTCTGCAAAGATGCAGAGGATGAGAATTGGATCCTGCAGGGTGAAAGATAGCACAGGGTGAAAACAAAGTTAAAGATCTTCTAATCTGACAAATTAGAAATTAAGGAGCTACAGGGAGTGCAGAATTATTAGGCAAGTTGTATTTTTGAGGATTAATTTTATTATTGAACAACAACCATGTTCTCAATGAACCCAAAAAACTCATTAATATCAAAGCTGAATATTTTTGGAAGTAGTTTTTAGTTTGTTTTTAGTTATAGCTATGTTAGGGGGATATCTGTGTGTGCAGGTGACTATTACTGTGCATAATTATTAGGCAACTTAACAAAAAACAAATATATACCCATTTCAATTATTTATTATTACCAGTGAAACCAATATAACATCTCAACATTCACAAATATACATTTCTGACATTTAAAAACAAAACAAAAACAAATCAGTGACCAATATAGCCACCTTTCTTTGCAAGGACACTCAAAAGCCTGCCATCCATGGATTCTGTCAGTGTTTTGATCTGTTCACCATCAACATTGCGTGCAGCAGCAACCACAGCCTCCCAGACACTGTTCAGAGAGGTGTACTATTTTCCCTCCTTGTAAATCTCACATTTGATGATGGACCACAGGTTCTTAATGGGGTTCAGATCAGGTGAACAAGGAGGCCATGTCATTAGATTTTCTTCTTTTATACCCTTTCTTGCCAGCCACGCTGTGGAGTACTTGGACGCGTGTGATGGAGCATTGTCCTACATGAAAATCATGTTTTTCTTGAAGGATGCAGACTTCTTCCTGTACCACTGCTTGAAGAAGGTGTCTTCCAGGAACTGGCAGTAGGACTGGGAGTTGAGCTTGACTCCATCCTCAACCGAAAAGGCCCCACAAGCTCATCTTTGATGATACCAGCCCAAACCAGTACTCCACCTCCACCTTGCTGAGTCGGACTGGAGCTCTCTGCCCTTTACCAATCCAGCCACGGGCCCATCCATCTGGCCCATCAAGACTCACTCTCATTTCATCAGTCCATAAAACCTTAGAAAAATCAGTCTTGAGATATTTCTTGGCCCAGTCTTGACGTTTCAGCTTGTGTGTCTTGTTCAGTGGTGGTAGTCTTTCAGCCTTTCTTACCTTAGCCATGTCTCTGAGTATTGCACACCTTGTGCTTTTGGGCACTCCAGTGATGTTGCAGCTCTGAAATATGGCCAAACTGGTGGCAAGTGGCATCGTGGCAGCTGCACGCTTGACTTTTCTCAGTTCATAGGCAGTTATTTTGCGCCTTGGTTTTTCCACACGCTTCTTGCGACCCTGTTGACTATTTTGAATGAAAAGCTTGATTGTTCGATGATCACGCTTCAGAAGCTTTGCAATTTTAAGAGTGCTGCATCCCTCTGCAAGATATCTCACTATTTTTTACTTTTCTGAGACTGTCAAGTCCTTCTTTTGACCCATTTTGCCAAAGGAAAGGAAGTTGCCTAATAATTATACACACCTGATATAGGGTGTTGATGTCATTAGACCACACCCCTTCTCATTACAGAGATGCACATCACCTAATATGCTTAATTGTTAGTAGGCTTTCGAGCCTATACAGCTTGGAGTAAGACAACATGCATAAAGAGGATGATGTGGTCAAAATATTCATTTGCCTAATAATTCTGCACTCCCTGTATGTTTATGTATATAGTGTTAAAATGAAAATATGAAAACATTATTACAAAGGAAACTCCGAAATATTGCAAGATAAAAAAAAGTAGTTGTGTATATTTATACATATTTTACTTATTTATGCACCCAACAGAGCAACAGCCAATCAACAAATGACCAAATGGCACCAAATGAAATTTTGGCTTTCAATTCAGTCATTTATTAATCAATATTTGTTTTTGGATTAAATTAATGTAAATCAAATTATTTATTGCAGGCAGGGCCGGACTGGGAAAAAAATTAGGCCCAGGCATTTTTCAATCAGAGCGGCCCCCTAAGAAGGGGGCGGGGCCAGAGAGGGTGTGTTTTGTCATCACTAATGACAACACGCCCCCTCTCAAAGTGAGCATGTTGGTTCAATGCCCAGAGCCCTGCTGAAGAGTTCTGGCATTAGAAAAAGGCCCTGTATTTGTTCTGCCCAGCGCAAGCAAATGTAATAACATGCTTGTGTTGTGTTTGCTTTTAAATTGTCTCTGGTGTCTCCACAAGTGGGATACCAGAGGACAAAAGGGCCAGGAAAGTGTATGGTGCATGTGTTTGGAGCCTGCTTGTGGGATTGCGTGTGTGTAGAGTGTGGTGTGGTGTGGTATTGTATAAATAGGTCAATTTAATTTGTGTTTGTGGTGTAATATGTATGGCTAGGGGCTGTAGAGAGTGTGTGTATAGGGGGCATAGTTTTATAGGGGATGCAGCGAGTGTGTGCATACGGGCTGAAGTGTGTGTGTATAGGTGACGTGGTGTGTGTAGGGGTTGCAGAGAGGGTGTGTTTAGAGAATGTTGTATGTGTTTGCTGACAAGGAATGTAGTGTGTGTGTGTAGGAGATCTACTGTGTAAAGGACCCGGTGTGTGTGTGTGTGTGTGTGTGTGTATAGAGGATAAAGAGTGCATATAGAGTAAGGGATCTAGTGTGTATCTGGAGCGTAATGTGTAGTGGTGCATTGTGAGGGGTGCTGTAGTGTGTGTGTATGTATATATATTTGGACTTATTGTATGTGTGAGGGGCGCAGTGTGTGTATGTAAGAGGGGTGCTGTGTGTGAGGGTGTTTTTATCTGCTGTCACATTCTAGGTTTCTAATTTTCTTTGCCTGTTAACTCACTGAGGGTTATTTTATATATATATATATATATATATATATATATGAGGGTGCTGTGTGTGTCTAGGGGGTGCTGTGTCTGGGGGGTGCTGTGTGTGTCTGGGTGCGCTGTGTGTGTCTGGGTGCGCTGTGTGAGTCTGGGTGTGCTGTGTGTGTCTGGGTGCTGTGTGTGTCTGGGGGTGCTGTGTGTGTCTGGGTTTCGCTGTGTCTGGGGAGTTGTGTTTGTGTCTGCTGGGGTTTCCTTTGTCTGGGTTGCGGTCAGTGTCTGGGGGTTAGCTGTTGTTGTCTGGGTGCTGTGTGTGTTGTCTGGGGTTGCTGTGTGTGTCTGGGGTGCTGTGTGTCTGGTGCTGTGTGTATCTGGGGTTGCTGTGTGTGTCTGGGGTTGCTGTGTTGTGTCTGGGTTGCGGTGTGTGTCTGGGGTGCTGTGTGTGTCTGGGGGTTAGCTGTGTGTGTCTGCTTGGGGTTTGCGGTGTGTGTCTGGGTGCGGTGTGTGTGTCTGGGGTTTTTGGTGTGTGTCACTGGGAGTTGCTGTGTTGTGTCTGCCGGAGTTGCTGTGTGTGTCTGAGGTTGCTGTTGTGTCTGGGGGCTGTGTCTGGAGTTGCTGTGTGTGTCTGGGGGTGCTGTGTGCAGAGTGCTGTGTCTGGGGTGCTTTGTGTCTGGGTTGCTTGTGTCTGGGGGTGCTTTTATTGTCTGGGTGCTGTGTCTGGGGGTGCTGTGTCTGGGGGTGCTGTATCTGGGTGATGTATTTTTTTATTTAAATTTAAATATTTTTTTTTACTAATATAAAAAAAAAAAAAATATATTTCCCCCCCCTCCCTTCTTACCTTTATCCTGGGAGGGGGGGGTGGGGAGCCGTGCTGCCTTCCCTGGTGGCCCAATGGTGAGAGTTCACTCTCGCGAGATGAATCCCGCAAGAGGATCCGGCGGAGCTGCTTGTTAGAGCTCCGCCGGGTCCTCTCTCCTCCCTCCCCAGCCGGCGGCCGCATTTCAATGCCTGTGGGCCGGTGAGGGAGATCTTTGATCTCCCCACCGGCCCATGGAGGCACTATGCAGGGCCAGCGCTCGGGTAGCGCTGGCCCTGCACGGGCCGGCAGGGGAGATCCTGTGATCTCCCCTGCCGGCCTCGGCCCCACGGCCATCGCGGCCCACCGGGCATTTGCCCGGTGTGCCCGATGGCCAGTCCGGGCCTGATTGCAGGCATACTCTAAGTACCAAATAAAAAAAGCTTAATAAAGTGGTTTTGGTATATAGATCGTGCCACTGTAGTCTCACTGTTCAATTCTTTGCCATTTTAGAGTTAAATCCCTTTTGCTTTTGTTAATGCAGATCTAGCCACACCTCTCCTGGCTGTGACTCACCCAGTTTTGATGAAAAAAAAAGACTTTTTCCCCCTCCAATCAGATTTTACAGCAGAGTGTATTTACTTTAGAAGATTTTATCTCCTGCTCTGTTAATTGAACTTTAATTATACACACGAGACTGTTACAGGCACTAGCCGACTATTAACAGAGTTGGAGATAAGGATTTCTAAATTAAATATACTGTGCAATAATAGGAAAGCTAAAGAATGTAGACTCTTCTGGCAAGTGTGGAGGGAGGCTGTGAGAGTTTCAGCCATGGGCGGTGTGCCTCGAGTTGCAGAATTAGTGAATTCTCTCTAAAATGGCAACAGAATGAGCAGTGAGACTTCAGGGGCCTGATCTATACACCAAACCAATTCATGTATTTAAAGATGGTTGGTGCTTAGAGTGTCCCCTTAGATGTAACCATTGCTTGGATGTAAACGTTTATGACATGTTATGCCCACTTAGGATTTGATGCCAAGTATCTTGTACTCCCTTTTCTTTTTTTTTGAGATGTTATAAGTGCTCTTTTGTGCATTTTGCACAAATCAACATTCCCTAATAAACTTATGGGATGTATACTTAAGTAATCTAAATTACCTTTTATTTTTCTTTAACACATCTGAGCTTTGGTAAGTCCCTTCATTTTACCTGATCTCAGAAGATAGACCTCCTCCTCCAATGAAGGGAAGATAGGCATGGCGTGGGTGAGACGGGACCTTTTCTATTCTTCGAGATTCTGGGTGGTCACTATGCCTGCTTTGCATTGCTTTTTTCCTGAAAAACAAAAAGAGAATAAACAATATTAAAAACAGATTTACATAACCATAAATCCAAACAATTTTATTACTTGTAACTTATCCTATGTGTCCCCTAAGGAACATAAGATGTTATAACCCAGTGTAACCTATTTGATATTAAATGTCAAATACATTCTATAAAAGGATTGATTGCTAAACTTATAAAAAATACTTTTTATAAAAGTCCATATAAAAATAGATTAAATAGATATGTTTATTAATACAAACTAAATCAACACAAATAAAGCATAGCAGATACTCACACGGCTGTTACATCAGAGAAAGAAAAAGGAGACCACTTTAACAAAGCTAATTCACCTACTCGAGTTCCTGCTCCATGCCCACCAGATAGAGCAGATATTGGCTCTCTGCAGACTCACTCCCTATTGGTACTCCTAGTGGATGATCGTCAAGACCAAGGCATATTCAACCAATAACATTTACCAGCATATAATATTTAAGGTTGTTTAAGACTTTATAAGGGTCAATTTGGCTTTAATTGTTTGTTTATTTAAAAATTATTAGAAGAAAAATTAAGTTAAAAGTTAATATGTAATCTTGTTTAGGACACATGCCTAGAAATTTGCTTACTTATCAGAATAATAATGAAGGACTAAACGGTGTGAAGGTGCATGTTGGGTATAGTTAATTGAGAGAGATATGACAGTAAATATGGACATAGAGAAGTGGGTGCTGAGAACTATAAGGAAATCTACAAAAATACAAAAACGTTAAACATATTACTTGATAGCATGTCTGAAAGAACACAGTATATAACCATCTTACATTGCTTCAACCTGCAGCATGTCTATCTGTTGCTTCATGGTTGTAAGAAGTAGTTCATTCTTCTGCTCTTGATCAGACAAATATTTTATCATTTTTTCTAGATAACCTGTGTTCTTGTTTTGAGCAGATATTTCATTCAATTTCTGCACAATATCTGAAATTCCATTAAAACAAGTTTTCAAAATCAGATTTAATTTCACTTAATAATGCAACCAGTAATATCTTACATTGTACAGTATTAGTATTTATTATTATTAATTTTGCTATTTATATAGTGACAACAGATTCCGTAGTACAATTGTATTTGCTTGTCTATTTTTTTACACCACCTCTTTGCTTTATTATAGTGTATTAAATTGGATCTTAGCTAAATAGGCAGAAAAATATTATTTAGATGTTCTTGCGGGTCAACTAGTGGAACCTCTGTTATACAATGAATGAGTAATCAAACATTAAACCAAGCATAGAAAGTAAATATAAGAAATATGAAAGAAAGGTATAGTGAAATGCACTTGGGATGAACACTGATTCAAAAGTAAATTATCTCAGTTCATGTTAATCCTGAAATCATAAAATGCTTAACTATCAGAATTGAACTGAAGACAACAAATTGCCAACTGTTACCTTTATGGTATGAACTTTCCAGTTCCCTGGAGCTCTAACAATAAGTTCTGCTTTTGGAGCTCCCACTTCCGTGATTTTTTTTAACCATTTTCTCTTTTGTATTACAGATCGCTTGAATGTATGAAGTCATATTACACACTCACTGCGTTCATACAACAAACACTGAGAGTGCCCAGATCACATATCATTCATCCCCTCACTAGGCCACCAGGAATAAGAGCGGAACTTCTATGGGACTCTGAGGCCCAGTCACAACTACAACCCTGTTGCTACACTAGAGCTTTGAAAAGTTAGGTTTGTGTAATGTATTGGAGTGTATTTTTTTAAATAAGGAGGGTTATTTACATACGTACCATCCCGTTGTTTTTCCAAAAGCTTATTTTGAGACATAATGTCATTAATTTGCTTGCTGTGAGCTTCTGCAAGATAGCGTAGCTGTGTTTCCTGATCATGTGTTTTGCGTGCCATCCTATAAATTTCACCTGTCTAAAACGACAACAAGGCATATTAAATAATTGCACATGGCTCTATTCTACTGCAGGTCTTAATAGATTTACTTTTACAAAAAGAGCATTCATGAATATCCACGTGCTGCAACTGTTGGAATGTATTTTATGTTTTATCTGCTGATCAAGAGTAACCTAAAAACAAGTATGAATGTTAAAAATAGTTTTGATGTAAACATTGTCCACTCAAATTCTGATAATCACCATATAATTCAATGATATGGCATGCACTCATGTGCCAAATTGTAGGCATTTCATTTATTGTAAGGAAACACTGAATGAAACATGAATATTTAGGAGCAGACCAAAAGACCAATCTCAAAGACACAGTTCAAGAGCCACATCACGGACAAATACCAGCCTTTGAAAAATTGCTAATGCATGAAACATATTAGGCTGTTTGGTTCCTCACATCTTTTCACTGATGCCCATTTTTATTGTCAATTTCTACATTTGAATAGAGGATCTGCATAATTATAAGTTCTACAGGTTAAGCAATTTGCATTTGAGGGATGTAAATTTTCTGCTGTCACAACTAGGATTTACGAGAGTTACTCAGATAAATATATCTAAATCTAAACCATTTATGTAAGCAGACCAAGCTGTCCTAAATTAAGCTGCATTTCAGCCAAGCTAAAATTCTGAGATTATTAAGTATCATTTAATAAATCTCATGAATAATTCACCGCAATGGTGCCCAAACATTGAGGGCAGTGCCAGATAGGAGCTGTTATTCTTGATTGCCCCTGTGCACCTTTGAAGCTACCTCTTACGTATATGACCTATTTGTGGCCTTAATACTGATATAAAAGAAAAATCCTTCATGACTCTCACTTACCTCACCACTGTCAACCTTGTTTTTCCTTTGGTCTAGAATATGATCTGTCATTTTGTCACCACTCATTTCTTTCACTTTATTTTGCAACTGTTGATTGTTCCGCGTTCTTCTGAGTCTGTTAACCTAATGTAGAAAAAATAAACTTAAAAAAGCTTGAAGCTACTGGTGAGACCCTGGGGATTGCTAACTATATAATGAGATGTCGCTGTGTTGTGCGTGGAAGTTACGATATAATAAATTGTGACTGGGGAGGTTACTATATAATGAGTTATAGCTCAGGTTCTACATGAGAGTTATTATGTTATGAAATAAAGGTGGGTCCTGAAAAAGAACTATAATATAACAAAATGTGGAGATACATTGGGTTTTGTTTGGGTACAAAGTGAGAAATATTGGGGTGGTGGCTGGGGTAGTGTTGCTATTTAAAGAATTATGGCTGCAGGATTGTTGGTATGTAATTAAATGTGGCATTGATCCTCAGGGGGCTTATTTAATTATACAATGTGGCTAATGTACTAGAGGAGAGTTACTATATATTAAATTTAGCTGGGTGTCTATATAAATGTTACTGAATTGTGTCTTTGTCCTGATGAAGGGTTATAATATAATAAAATATAGATTCTGGCCCATTCTCTTACAGGATGCCCACATTAAGGATGTCCTAGGTCCAAGAGCATCAATCACAACACGTAGGGGCAAGAACCTCTGTGACTTACTAGTCCCAAGCCATTTCTCCACAAAAGTGACCTCCCCAACCACGTGGCTCAGGCGGAACATACCGATTGGCAAGTACAGGTGCGGTAGGTGTGTCACCTGTAAATATATGTCACGTGAATCCAAACGCGTGACTGATAGTGAAGGAAATCATTCTTATGATATTACTAATTTTTTCAACTGTAACACTGCAGGATTAGTTTATCTACTGACCTGTAGTTGTAAACTAATGTACGTGGGCAAGACGTTCCGGCCGTTTAAGGAACGGATCAAAGAGCACGTTAAATCCCCTAAAAATCGGGTTGAGACTCCAATCTCGAGACATTTGAAAGATTGTCACGAAGGGATATCAAGGGAGATAAGATTATGTGGCCTTGAACTGGTCAAACGTGACCAAAGACGGGGCAACTTTGATAAGATCCTTTGTCAAAAAGAATGCAGATGGATATACAAACTAAATACCCTCAAGCCAAAAGGTCTAAATGAAGGCTTTTCTTTTTCTCCATTTATTTGAGGGGTATACCTTTCCTCTGTAAATATTTAATTCAGTGTTTGTACTAATTTTCATTTTATTTATATCCTTTTTCCATTATTTTGTATATATTGTATAGTTTAGAGTGGATATAAGCCAGTATCTTTGTAAAGAAACTTTCTTCTGATCATTTATTTCTCATTTATGTGGCAAACCTCAATTTCTATTTGGCATAACACTGCAATATGTGTATCTATCCATCATCCTCATGACTAGCACTATTAACATTACCAGGTCTATCTGGGCATCATTTAGTTCTCGGACCTCCCTAGATTTTAACTACTACTGCATCTAACCACTGTACAGCATGATCGCTACTTCTGTATTAATTAAAACGACAGGAGCCACTGGTCATTCGTCTTCTGGTGTATTTATTAATATGCGCTCACTATGCCTTTGCTGTTAGTTTGATATTGAGTATGGAACAGTAATTCCACAATATACTGTTTAAGTGGTAGTCCAAGTACTAATGGGACATAACCCTTCACCAGCTGATCATACGACCATGGGACCTCATACAGAGGGGTACCCAGGTTTTACTGGGTATATCTGTAACGGAGCTCCTTGTACTCCGACTGAGTACCCTCCGTTGACGGATGCTCCTAGCGCTTCCTGAGGACTCCAAGTGCTGCAGCAGACACCACAACCACCGCAGACTCCGCAACCGCCGTATCTTGACTGGAGTCTCGCCGTCTTCCTTCCACCCTGGATCAGCTTCTGTCCTCCAGGACTGTGTGGGAAAGAACTCTTCCTTCCACCCTGTATGAACCTCCAGCATCCAGGACTGTGTGGTGAAGACCCCTCCTCCAAGGAGAGCGTGTCAGGAACAAGCTCTTAAAAGAGCTAAGTGATTAAGCTGCAGAGATTCCCCTTTCAAGAACGAGACAAGGCTACGTTTTGAAGGGTCAAGAAGAACTGTCAAAACCTTTATTCCCTTGGGACCAGCCAATACAGTCACCACAATAACATTGTTGTGAAACCTCAATAAAATCACAAACAGTCAAACCATATCAAGAAACACACAGTGACTTATCACAACACAATGGCACATTTTTAAAGGGGTGGGGGGAGACAATATTTAACAGTAAATATCTCACCTGCCTGCAGAATTAGCAATATGCAAATCTACCCGAATATGCAAATGAACCAGTCTTGCAATTCAGGTAGTGCATATTGCTGTTGCTACCAACAGAGGGCACTAGACCAGCTCCATAGCCAAACCCACCTAGTTGGTAGCAAACCTCAGCAATACAAGAGAGCAGGCAATACATTACACAGTACACACACACACACTATAAACAATTACATTACACACACCCTCCACCTATAATGGGTACAGGGTGACTAAAACATAGGATAAATAAAGCAGCCCACATAAATAGTCTGTCTGAAGGTAGACTAGGGGCTTTACAGCCAGATAGATGAAAGAGTCATAGTCACAGGGGAGGAGGCTGGCAAGTAGGCCTCTCCAGGACCAAGTGGCGAAGGGCACTTCGTCACAATATCCATCCGTAGCCCCTATTCACTGACAACTCTGTGATACCGATCGAAATAAGTGCACCACGCACGCTATGTAAGCAATATCAGTAAGCACTTTGAGACATATGGAAGCGATAATGTCAGTCTCCAATACACATAATCAGTGATTCATTGGTATAAAATAGACGACCTGGGAATCTCTTGCTAGGTTTACCCACGATCAAGGGGTTCATTTAGTTATTTATTTATTTATTTATCTGTAACCACCTCTCACAATTGATGCTAATGGGGTGATCTATGATAATTATCTGTTTGCAGTCACCCCTTAGATTTGATGACAGTGGGGTGATGTACTTTACATTTACATGTGAGCAACCTTTGAATCCTTGAGGGGTTAATCCCAGGAAACATGATATACTGGAGACTCACACTAGACAGCCCCTCAGTACTCTGACTGGACATACCATATTGAAGGCATCACTTTTGTTTTTTCACGTTTATATTTTATATTTTTATTTTCTATTCGGCTCATTATAATAATAAAGGTTAAGACCACTATGTTATGAGATTTTTACTTTCTTGAGGTCCTCACTTATGGAGCGTGATCCACCTGCCTGCCGGTGAATGGTTACACTTACTCCATTCTCTCTCTTTTTTAAGGTACAAGGAAGGTTTAACATTTTCATAATGCCAACAAAAAAAAACAAATATTAAAAAAAAAACATTAGGTCCGTTCGCCGTTTTTTTTTTAAATAAAGAGGACCAGATTGCTGAAAGAAAATGCGGACAAAAATGTCACGCATTAAAGTAAAATCCAAGTTGGCCCATCGAGGATGCTGTCACATTACCCATAGAGAGCATGCTAGCTGGAAGAGCCCTTTTAAAGAGGTTTATAATGATTGATTGTAATGCGTTTTGCTGTTTTATATTCGTGTAAAAATTTAATTTCAAGATGAAAATAAGGGATATTGAGTCAGCGGACAATTGACCCGCACTCACCCCTTCCATCCTAAAAAAATCCAAAGCTTTCTCAAACATCCAGTCTGTAGCATAATGGACCATCCTTCAGTTCTGTTTTTTAAAACTGTGCCCTAGCAGCAGCAGGAGTCATTTAATTGGGGGGGGGGAATTAGATTTTTTTTTAATAAATGAAAGCATGGAACGGATTTTCAAATTAAATTACTCGTGCTGCAGCTGCTCCAGTGCTGTATTTTGGATCTGCGGTGCCCTAGGCATGACGGAACTCGGGCACCCCCTAATTTAAATTTCCCCGGACTCCTCCTGTTAAGGCTTCACCTCTTCCTGTTAAAGACTAACACACTTTGACTCACACTGGCACCCGGCATTACTCTGCTGCTCACAAAGGAGCCACTCACTGACAGTCACACTCTCAAGTGTACTGACACACACTCACTGGTTTGACACAATCTGACATACACACACACAATCGCTCACTCACAGATACACAGACACACGCTCACGGACAGACACTCGCACACTCACTGACATACACACAAACTCACTCACAGACACACTGACAAACATACACACAATCACTGACAGACACACACGCTCACTCACAGACACACACTCACTTACAAACACACTGGCAGATATTCACGCTCACTCACAGACACACTGTAACAGACTGACAGCTATACACAGACACAATCACTGACAGACACACACGCTCACTCACAGACACACATTCACTTACAAACACACTGGCAGATATTCACGCTCACTCACAGACACACTGTAACAGACTGACAGCTATACACAGACACACTCACTGACAGACACACATTCCCAGACACACTCACCCACATTCACTGACAGACACACAAACTCACAGACACACACAAACTCACTCACAGACACACATGCCCACTCAGACATACACACAATCACTGACAGACACACACGCTCACTCACAGACACACACTCACTTACAAACACACTGGCAGATATTCACGCTCACTCACAGACACACTGTAACAGACTGACAGCTATACACAGACACAATCACTGACAGACACACACGCTCACTCACAGACACACATTCACTTACAAACACACTGGCAGATATTCACGCTCACTCACAGACACACTGTAACAGACTGACAGCTATACACAGACACACTCACTGACAGACACACATTCCCAGACACACTCACCCACATTCACTGACAGACACACAAACTCACAGACACACACAAACTCACTCACAGACACACATGCCCACTCAGACATACACACACACTGACAGACAGACACATTTTCCCTCAACACTCACAGATTGTTATTTATTGTTATTTATTTTTTTTAAATTTAAATCTACCCAGCCTCCCTACCTTTGGGAGAGCTGGGTGGATATTTTTCCTTTTTTTCAATTCTTTATTTTCGTTGTGCATGAAAAGTAATAACATATTGGGCAGTCTTGCCAGCATAAGAAAAGAGAGGAGCAATTTCAGCATGCAAGACAGGTAAGCATTGCACATTTTTTTTTATTCAAGCTTAATTAAATTAAGGCAAATACAGTCATGTGGTTAAATGTTATATAAGACAAGTTATGAAAGTCAGAGCCACAACAGCTTACATAAGCATACGAATGTGGCAAAGATAAAACTATATTTGCTAATTCTGGACATTTGAGCATATGAATAAACAGACTAGTCAGGTATGTCCACCTAAAGATTGAACTATCAGTGTGTGAACAATTAGTACATGTTAGACACAGGTGCTTAAAAGAGTATGGCAAGTAAACATATAGCATGGGTCATTTAAATGTGGGTTAAAATAAAATGGGTGTTATAGAACATGCTAACTTCAATAAAATCAACAGGGATGTAACTAGGTACTTGTCACTGTGAATAGGTAAGCTCTGCACAGGGGGCTCTGCGCGGGAAACAGGAGTAACTACATCTTAAGCAAAGTCGCTGCCATCGCTGGGTGGATATTTTATCTGTGGTCCAGTGGGGCTGCTGGGCTGGCTGATGGCCAGAATGTTGATGCTGCTGGGAAGGCAGACGGGCAGGCAGGCAGGCGGGCTGGCACGCAAAGAAGGCAGCGAGGGGGCTCTTCTTGCTCTGCTCCTTCGTGAGCAGCAGAGTAATGCCAGGAGCCAGAGTGATGTCATATTCCGGCTCCCGGCATTACTGCTGATTACTCAAAGATCAGCTCTCCCTCGCCACCGGCCTGGGACAGAACTGGCTGCCTGCTCCGGGGGGGCCCCAAAGGTAGCCAGCCGGCCAGCTCTTGTGCCCCCCTTAAAACAAGGCTAACGAGGCATTTGGGGGCAAATGCCTTGTTAGCCTTGCAGTAAATACAGCGCTGAGCTGCTCCCCCTTTTCAAATGCCTGTCATTGCAGTTTGTTTCGCCCTGCGTGTCTTGCAATGTGATTATGCCTGCTAACTCAGCAGATGCAGTCAGTATAAGCTTGCAGGGAACCATTTTTTTCCCACACTACAGACTGGATGTATGTGTGAAAGCTTTGTTCTTCTCGGGTGGTAGGGATAAGTGGGTGGTCAATTGCCCTGTGCCCACTCTTCCTTAGAAAGAAAAATCAAACAAAACAAAAACAACAAAAATGTGGCCTGTCAGCTTCTTAACAGTCACTAAAAAAGGGGAGCTGCAGCAGGAGTAATTTCATTAAGTAATTTATTTTTAAGGCGGTTGTACAAGGGGATAAGCACAGCAACACCACCATATTTTAGAATATAATATATGTTTTTTCCAAAGAGGTAAATAAAGGCATTGCACACTCGATATTACTGAGGGTAGAAGCTTACACTTTCCAAAGCAGAAATAGAAGCATATTGCAAATCAAATAGCCGGTCTCTTACTAAAAATAAATATATTTATATACAAATCAGTAAAACAATTCTAAATCAGTAAATGAATGTTCGTATAAATGGCACTGGAAGTAACTGATTTTTTTTCTTTTTAAATCGACCGGATGATGAGGGATTCTATCTAGCCTGCCACTGTTGACTATTTGCACTATCCTCACCATCCCCCCTGATTTGCCTGTGGGTGGCGCTAGTAGTCGTGGATGAGATAGTGCTGATGGTAATCACTTTTAGCACCAGTGGACCTACTGCCTGCCCTAGTACTTTCTTGTTCTCCTTCTTCCTCAATAATACAGACTTGTGGTATCTTTGCAGACGTTACTTCATACCACCACTACCCTTCACTGGTTTGGATATCAAGGCTAATGTTGATAGTGCTGGTACAGGTGATGTAGATGGTGTTGGCACTTGTGGTGGTGATGGTAAAATTGACTGTGGGTGAGCTACGTCTGCCACTTGTAGGTGCTGCTGTGTAAGCTGAGTGCACACTAACTGCTAGAGAAAATACTGATCTGTTGCATGTCCACTCCATACTCTTCACTTATAATTTATCTGGTTCATCATAATCATAGTCAAGTAGCTCTTTGGCTAGTGGTAAGAGTTCTAGGTCAGCAGTGGTGGAAGAAACCGAATCATCATCATCATCAGATTCATCACCGCCACCAAGACCAGACATTGGAGGAAGGGGTTTCCGGTGTCAGGAAAAAAATATAATTTGCTTAGCCTTGGTCATTGATTCTACTGTGAGACTAACTTTAGCTCTATGCTGTATCTACTTCTAGCAACTAGCACTGCCAGGAGCACTAGAGAATATTTTGAGTAGGACATAGATTGTCACCTGGGTTCATTCTGTTATTCATCCTACTGTGAGGCTATTTTACCAATATACAAAAAAACAAAAAAAAACCAATAATTTGTTTATATAGTGTTATATCCTTCCTTTGAGGACTATTGTGTCAGGAAAAAATAATAATTTTGCCTAGCCTGGGTTATTAATTCTATTGTGACATGGTTTAACATTATACAGTTGTGATCATAGTTTACAGGGTTTTTTTTGTTGACGTATAAAGCAAGAAAATGCTCTCTTTTTTGCTTATTCTTTTTTCCCCCACTTATTTTGTATGCAATATCTATATATATTTGGGTGTGTTGAGTTCCAATGGGAGCAGACTTATGTTGGCTTAGCTCCACAGAAGGCCTCGACAATACTTTCCAGTGCCACTTACAGCCTGCCCCTGCTTTGGGAACAAGATTATGCCCTCACATAAGCACAGTAACTTGTCAAACAGCCACAAATTTAAAAAAATACCTCCCAAATGAAACCTGTCTCAAAGAACACAAGATTGTGGCTAGAATTCTACCATTGTACGCAGCATCGTCTGTCTAAATTAGACATAACTTGGCAACTTTCAGATGACTCATCTGTAAGACTTGGTTATGGAACGAGAACCAAAGAGCAAGCCACATCACACCTTAGTGCAAGGATAGGCAACCTTCGGCACTCCAGATGTTGTGGACTACATCCCCCCCAGAATGCGCTTACACCCATAATGCTGGCAAAGCATCATGGGAGGTGTAGTCCAAAACATCTGGAGTGCCGAAGGTTGCCTATGCATGCCCTAGTGAATCATCACTTCCAAGGAAGTCATAGAAATGGATGCAGGCTCCCAGAAAGTGTGCATTGCTTACAACAAATAATTGAGAGAAGTCTGATGGGAAACTAGAACTGGAGCATCAAAGTCATTAAGTGTAGAGAAAGAAGCCAGAATCCGTCCAAAGTCAAAAGGATGGGGAGGGCAGCATAGAGTTGTAGATCCAATAAATAGAGCAAAAGTCAGAAATGCAGAAGAGCAGAAGGGAAGTCAGGAGGCGAGGTCTGCAACGGATCTGGAAAGCAAACACAGCAGGAACAGACTGTAGGTCACCTGGACAGGGAGCTACAAAATAACTGAGCACTTGGTCAGGGTAGCCTTGGGAGTTTATAGCCAAAATCTCCCTAAGGGCGCATGCCCAGCACAGTACACACAGCTGTATGTATTTCAAGTGCAGTCATAGGCACGGAGCATATAAGTGCAAATTTGTAATGCTCTCGGGAGAAAATTTATTTTGGAACGCAACTGCAGATGAAATAATAAATTTGATACCTTCACTTTAAGAAAATTGAATTTAACTTAAATAAGGAAATTAACCTTGGCAGTATTTTGCAGCAAATAGGTTTTGAAATAATGCATGAATGTTGGGAATCTTGTTTCAGAATTGCAACACAAGAATATGGCAATTATGAAAAATAAGGAAATGCTTATTTAGCAGCAAACAATATAGTCCAAATGACTTCAAATGAGGAATGCTTAATTAGCAGTAAGTAGTATAGTCCATAAGACTTCAATAAGGTTGCCAAGCAGGGGACTCCTGTAGTACAATATCAGTCTCTTAGTATAAAGAAATAACTTGGTAATGAATTATCCTGGTATGTGAAGTGTTTGTAGTTAGTAGACTCCAATAGAAATAATTAACACCATTGGGTAATTGGCAAATTATATTTCAATTAGATATAGCAAGTAGAATCTCAGAGGTAGACTTTGGATATCCCTTATCCTTCCCAGAAACTTGAGGCTAGAATCAATTAGTAATTACAATCATAGGAAAACTTATATTTCCTTAATGAATGAAGGGAGTTGAAGTCCTTCCAGTGTAGATTGATTTATGGTTCCTTGAAGTAACTGAAGAGATGCAGGAATCCGTAGGTTAAGTCTGTTTCATGAGTGGCAGAGTAGAATGGAGCATAGCCAGGAACAAAGCCAGAAGTTGAGTACAAAGCAAATCAAATGAGCAGAGTTCTGCAGTGAAACGGCAACCATGTAGTAAGAAGTGAGAGCACATCAAACATAGAAGATTGACAGAGAAAAATTGATTGAGCACCTTATATCAGGTGCAGCGTCCTTTTAACAACGTGGGGTAATCCAAAATTCCACATACAGCTGTGGAGTCTTAATCATAATCAATGTGGACATCAATATGGACATTGCAGCCTCTAGATTGTTTCTCTAGATTGTGAGCCATAATTTACCTGACCCATGGACAGTGCACCATAATGATGTTGCGTGTTGCAGTGCAGAGCAGCAACCTCCCCCAGCTGGAGTCAAAAACGTGATCCACCACGTGACCATGTAGGCATGAAGAAGTGTAGGAGTGGGTCTCAGCAGATATAACATTACGTGACTCAGGAAGGAAGTTCAATAACATGTCTCAGTCCCTGAGATGTTTATTACAGACCAATTTAAAACATGACGGTAGACATATCCATGGTACTGCATGAATTCATGGGTAGAATCGTAAAGAATGAACTCTGTACTGCATATAACATGCTAATTCACAAAATCAAACATAAACTTGTTGACAGTATAGCAGATGTGGAGGACCAGATAATATGTGTATCCATTGAATGATATAATGTAATCTTGCACCAAAACTGATCACCTCCCCTGTTGTGGGTCTGGACATAAACAGTGGGATTACAAGAATGATTTTCTTGATTCATTTATTCAGTGTTATAGCAACTTGCTCAATTCTGGTTAATCAATGCTATTTTTTATTTTGTTGCCATCCTTTTTACATTTTTTGGTTTTGCCAATATATCTTGCTTACTGTTAGTGAGTTTATTGCAAACAGCACACCCTTGAGCAGGAATCACAGCTCAGGCTACCATGACATCATTCAATACTCTCTTAACACATCTATTAAAAGAAATAAAACACAACTTATTGTGTTGACACTTGCTGCCTTACTGTTTATTGCATATGTTAACGTAATATAACGTAATACCCTATTTTTTTAAATTTAAAGGGACACTATAGTCACCCAGACCACTTCAGCTCAATGAAGTGGTCTGGGTGCCAGGTCCCCCAGGTTTTAGCCCTTCAGATGTAAACATAGCAGTTTCAGAAAAACTGCTATCTTTACATTGCAGGGTTAATCCAGCCTCTAGTGGCTGTCTTCCTGACAGCCGCTAGAGGCGCTTCTGAGAAATGCTTTCCTATGGACTGTTTGAATGGGCATGCGGCTCTTGCCGCGCACGCGCTTTCCGCTCAACTCGGGAGCTGACGTCGGCAGGGGAGGAGAGGTCACCAGCGCCGAAGGAGCCCGGCGCTGGATTAATGTAAGTAACTGAAGGGGTTTTAACCCTTTCAGCCCAGCGGGAGGGGGGCCCCAGGGTGGGGGGTCCTAAGGATGCTATAGTGTCAGGAAAACGAGTTTGTTTTCCTGACACTATAGTGATCCTTTAAGTCATAGCTTACTATTCACAGTTGCATCTTCTCCATACGCTTAAATACAAAGCTGTTTATTCAGACTTATAAACAAATTTAATCTGGAAAGACTGGCTTGTTCTCAGCTCTTTCTATAATGTATAATGTTGGTGCCTTATGTACACTACTGTTCCAATCTGATACAATACACCTGTATCTCTACCCTCCTAAGGTCAAGGACGGTCTTGCCAGACTGTTTTAGTAGAAGTTAATTAAAGGCTGTTTTGCAGTTCACTTCTTTATCAATTACCATTATGCTTTTACTCTACACAAATCTGGCCTTCCATCTTGCAACATCGTCTTTTTACGTCACCCAGATGAAATATGTAACACACATCTTCTATTGTTGATGTTCTTTACCTTTTATTCAACAAGTAATCAATAAATAAGTAAATTTACACTTGCCATGTATTTGTTTGTTATCAAAATTTTGTATTGTGTTGTTGTTGTATGGTATAGACATTTTCTAAATATTTCTAATCCTCAACTACACTAACTAGAATTCCTTCTGACCTTCCCTAGTACTCTTGAGTGCTAACTATCATCATATGACATATCTGGTGTAGTATGACTTCCCCACATTGATTGCCATTATAAGAACTCAGGAAGCAAAATGTTAAAATCTACCATTTTAAAATGTTAAAATCTACCATTCCTCTGACTGTCTTGTAATGGTAGACTTCCTAATGGATCAGCGGAAATTGTAACATAACCACAGGCTTACACAGAGAGCAAAGCCTCTAAATACTCTCCATGGAGATTTGGCCCAGGTGAGGTAAAATACAATTCAGTTTCAAAGCACTGTCAATCCAAAAGATTTATTTAATAATTTTAAAAGCTTTTTTTTTTTTTTTTTTAGGAGAAATCTCATATTTCTCTCCATTAAAAATGCAAAATTCACAGTATTTTTTTTTCATTTGCTAATAAAATAGGGAGTGGTATAGAAGTTTCTCAGAGGTAAAACGTGCCTGAACATATTGTCTAGTTCTGACAGTATCTGTATTTTGCTCAAAAAGTCACATTTTGAGAATACAGACTACGGAATAGAACGCAGACTTGTTTTTTAAATATATTATAATACTGATGTATCAAAATAAAAACTGTGGAGCTGTTATGCAGGGTGTGTTCCCTGCAAATAGTTTTCTGTCCATTGACTTCAAGTTGTCTTGTAAATAGAAATAAATAGTGCTAACACAAATATACAGAACGGATATATACAAGCCACAAGTTTAACATGGAAATAGAGCAACATATTAAAATTCAGTGAAGTAAATGATGAAAGCTAGGTGTTTATAAAGGGCCAATAATGCGAACAAGACTATAAAAAATTATTTCTAGGTTGCAATAGATCAACAGACAAGTAGTTAGATTTACCTGCATCAATGAAACATCACTTACATATATTTAAATAAATACATCCATATTTAACCATAGCTTAGTAAAAAAAGCTTTGCATTTATTTTGATGAAATGGCACATGATTTAGATAAAAGGGCTATCAGTGATCTGTTCAATATATTAAATAAAGCTAAGGAGAGGTATGTGCCACTACCCCAAATAAGGTTAATTTTTAAAAAAAAAATACATTTAGTTTTTTAATAAAAAAGCCGTGATCTGTCATATTTCTAAACAAGGCAGAAGTGCAGTTTAGAATTATATTTACCATGTCCACTGGCGTTTGCGTTTCTCTTAATCTTCCAATGTCTCCTCCAATACAGAACTTTTCTCTGTGTTTTTCAAGTAATAAAGAGGACTTGAAAGTCATATTGCAGCTTGGGCATCTTAAATATTCAGTCATTTTAGCTAAAAGTCAATTAGGATACACCAGGTTGTATATGTGGTATAAATACCAAAATCTTCTTACAAAACTAAACTCGTGAAGAATTCACGTTATTTGTGCTTAATGACCATCATAAAATGGACATTCTATTGTGGAGCATTTCCCTTTTTTGTTCAAATTAGTTCATTCAGTTTGCAAGACAAACTGCCAAAGCTTCTGTTTATTTCACTTCCCTTCTTCTGTGTTTGAACAATGCAGGTTGGATGGCAACCTGTGTTTGTGTATTAGTAGCTTTTCAACACTCCTTGGAGTGCTTAGAATAATATCAATAGGTTCTTGATCGCCATCTACAGGCAAGCAGGATTACTATGCATTTTTTGCTGTTTTTTTTTTTTTTTTTTGTCTGTGCCTATTTATTGTTATTTGCACCACAATATTTCTTGTTGCACACTCTTTATCATTGTATTTTCTTATTACATTTTGGTTCCTTTTTTTCCACATATTCATCACGTCCAATGTGTAACAAGAAATGAAAAATAAGACTTTTTCTGAATCAGGTTTAGAACTTTTACTGTCTTTTTGTTTTAATGTACAAAACAATAATTCATAATGCTAATGCTTATTTTTTAGGTAAATGTTCCTCATTTGTCTTATTCTTTTGTTTCTATTCAAGATATTTATAAATGATCTTGAAATGGTAATTAAAAGCCATGTTTCAATGTTTGCAGATAACATAAAACTCTGTAAAGTAATACAATGTGAGCAGGATATTGTTTTGATGCAGAGGGATTTAGGTAGACAAGGGGACTGGGCACTCAAATAGCAGATGACGTTTAATGTAGAAAAATGCAGTTATGCACTTCGGGGTAAAGAATGCACAAGCAATTTACACCTTAAATGGTAGTGAATTAGGGAGCCGGTCCTACGAACACAAGGCATCTGCCTTGGCCTCTTTCTCCGCTGTTGCCCCTGTAGTGTAGTGATAATGTGTCTTGGAGCAGGCTTGGCATGACGGGTTTGCCAGGCAATCGGGGCATTGGCGGCGTAGGTTTTGTGGTCTTTGGCTGATTGTTTCTCAAAACTTTGCCATTTTATGGTCATAAGCCAAAGTAAGCTACATTTCATATGAGAGCTGCAGAGCGTGGGCAGTGAGTATTGAAGACCCTCGTGCAGCAGCCATGTTGGTAAGCAGGCCTCACTCTTGTGGTTGCTCGTTTCCCAGGATGGCTTGTAGAAGAATGTGAATTGGGCTGCACCCACAGGGTCCTAATGAGGCAGATGGCAGGCTTCAGTAGAGGGTTGGCCACCTTCAAATGTCAAGTAGGCCTCAAGACAGTCCATCACAGCCCATAGCAGCACGGATTAATAGAAAACCAACCAGGGTATCAGCAGAGTGTTCCCCCAGTAGTTGGAGGTAAGTAAGGCAAATTATACAGTATTTTGGCTGATACCCAGCCATTAACACCCAGCACTCCCAAGCAACCAAGTCCTGCTGAATCTTCAGAGCAGAGACTGGGCCCCTTAAAACAGCATTAACACCCAGCACTCCCAAGCAACCAAGTCCTGCTGAATCTTCAGAGCAGAGACTGGGCCCCTTAAAACAGCATTAACACCCAGCACTCCCAAGCAACCAAGTCCTGCTGAATCTTCAGATCAGAGACTGGGCCCCTTAAAACAGCATTAACACCCAGCACTCCCAAGCAACCAAGTCCTGCTGAATCTTCAGAGCAGAGGTATTATCTCTGGAAGATTGCCCACCCTCCCAACACCATCCCACCCCATGGTCATCAACTTATTTATAGATAGTGCACATCAGCAGGCAGGGCCGCCATCAGAAAATTTGGGGCCCATGACAAAGCACAAGGTCTGGGCCCCCCCCCTCCTCGCGGGCCCGCCCACGCCCTACCTAGTCCGCTCACAATGATGCAGGACTGAATGTGGTGTGTATAGTGGAAGTGAATTAGAATGTGTGTAATGGATGTAGTGTTTGTGTGTATTAGATACTGTTTGTGCAATGAATGCAGAGTGTGTGTTTGTGTAGCGGATGCAGTGTGTATAGTGAACGCAGAGTGTTTTTGAGTAGTGGATGTAGTGTGTGTACAGTGATGTAGTGTGTGTTTGTGTAGTGGATGTAGTGTTTGTATGTACTAGATGAAATGTGTTTAGTGGATGCAGTGTCTGTAGTGTGTGTATCAGACGCAGTGTCTGTGTATAGTGAATGCAGAGTGTTTCAATTTGTGGTGGATGTAGTGTGTGTACTGTGAATACAGGATGTTTGTGTAGTGGATGCTGTGTGTACAGTTAATGCAGAGTGTATGTTAGTGTAGTGAATGCAGAGTGTGTGTCAGTATAGTGAATCCAGAGTGTGTGCATAGTTTAGTGAATGCAGATGCAGAGTGTATGTTAGTGTGTAGTGAATGCAGAGTGCGTCAGTGTAATGAATGTAGTGTGTGTGTTAGTGCAGTGAATGCATAGTGTGTGTAAATTTGTAGTGAATGCAGAGAGTGTGTTAGTATGTAGCGGATGCAGAGTGTGTGTTAGTGTAGTGAATGCAGTGTTAATGTGTAGCGAATGCAGAGAGTGTGTTAGTGTGTTAGTGTATGCAGTGTATGTGTGTGTTAGTGTATGCAGTGTGTGTTAGTGTATGCAGTGTATGTGTGTGTCATTGTATGCAGTGTGTGTGTGTGTTAGTGTATGCAGTGTGTGTGTGTGTGTTAGTGTATGCAGTGTATGTGTGTGTTAGTGTATGCAGTGTGTGTTAGTGTATGCAGTGTGTGTGTGTGTTAGTGTATCCAGTGTATGTGTGTGTTATTGTATGCAGTGTATGTGTGTGTTAGTGTATGCAGTGTGTGTGTTGTGTTAGTGTATGCAGTGTGTGTGTTATTGTATGCAGTGTATGTGTGTGTTAGTGTATGCAGTGTATGTGTGTGTTAGTGTATGCAGTGTGTGTTAGTGTATGCAGTGTGTGTGTGTGTTAGTGTATGCAGTGTGTGTGTGTTGTGTTAGTGTGTATGCAGTGTGTGTGTAAAGTAGTGTATGCAGTGTGTGTAAGCTAGTTAGTGTATGCAGTGTATGTGTGTGTTAGTGTATGTGCAGTGTGTGTTAGTGTATGCAGTGTGTGTGTGTGTGTTAGTGTGGGCTGCAGTGTATATGTGTGTTGGTTGTATGCAGTGTGTGTGGGTTGTGGTAGTGTATGCAGTGTGTATGTGTGTGTTAGTGTATGCAGTGTGTGTTAGTGTATGCAGTGTGTTAGTGTATGCAGTGTGTGTGTGTGTTAGTGTATGTGTGGTGTGTATGCAGTGTGTGTTAGTGTATGCGGTGTGTGTGTGTGTGTTAGGTGTATGCAGTGTATATGTGTGTTGGCTGTATGCAGTGTGTGTTGTGTTAGTGTATGCAGTGTATGTGTGTGTTAGTGTATGCAGTGTGTGTGTGTGTTAGTGTATGCAGTGTATGTGTGTGTTAGTGTATGCAGTGTGTGTGTGTTGTGTTAGTGTATGCAGTGTGTGTTGTTAGTGTGTGATCTGGGGGGAGGGGGAGGAAGGGGCATTTGAACTTTCATTTTTTATTAATTTAATTAAATGTTTCTCCCCCCTCCCTGCTTACCTGTGTCCATGGAGGGGGGAGATTCCATCCTTGGTGGTCCATTGGGGGGACCCCCGGCTCCCTGTTACCGCAGAGGGGGCCCAGGCAGCACACAGCTTCTCCTCTCTTCTCATAACTCTCGCGAGACCCGGTTACCATGGCAACGCTCCGCGGGTCTCGCGAGAGTTATGAGAAGAGAGAAGACAGGAAGAGAAGCTGTGTGCTGCCTGGCTGGGTCCCCTCTGCGGTAACAGGGAGCCGGGGGCCCGCGGCTGCACACGTAGATAGCGATATTCGCTATCTATGTGTGCAGAAAGGGAAAGTGGGGCCCAGGACTGCCAGAGCAGTCCGGGCCCCCCAGGGCCGCCGGGCCCGTGACAACAGTCACGGTTGTCACCCCCTGATGGCGGCCCTGTCAGCAGGTTTCCATAACACACCAATCAAGTCATTAAACCACTCCTCACCTGAATTAATTTAATACACTGCATCCTTACAATGGTTTAAACACTTATTGATATTGTTATTGATATTGTGTGTTTGTATATATGATCTACATATCTATATAATACACATTTTCTCTAATGTTCTCCCTTCTATTTTTCACATTAACACTAACTTCTGTCATTACTAAAATATCCCTATCCTTTCACTCACCTGTCCCTGGCAACACCATCATCATTACTTCCACCTTACTCCCCTCCCCTCTCTATTCATCCCATGCACTCTACACATACCTTTCCAGCCTATCTCCACCGACTCTTTCCAAATCCTCCACATACATACACTCCTACAAAACTTTCAAATCCTACTCCCACCTTCACTTCCTTTCTATCCTTCTGCTCCTAGCAGCTGGTGATGTCTCTCCAAACCCCGGTCCCCTCTCAACAAACTCAGCACATACTAACCCAAGGATCCACACTAATCTCATACCCATCTCTTGTTCCTCTAAATCCTCCTTCAATACTGCCCGCACGCTCTGTTTGCAATATAACGCACGCTCTGTTTGCAATATAACTAAATCCACTGCTGTCCATGACTTCTTCATCTCTCGTTCAATAGATTTACTAGCCTTAACAGAAACCTGGCTCTCCCCCTCTGACACTGCCACCCCTGCATCTTTGTCCTTCGGTGGTCTCCAACTTACCCACACCCCAAGAAACTCTGAATGTAAAGGTGGTGGTGTTGGGTTTCTCCTCTCCCCTCACTGCTCTTTTAAACCTCTTCCCACCCCCCCTTCCCTCTCTTTCCCATCATTTGAAATACACTCAATTCGCCTTTTCAAACCCTTCGCTGCTAACATTGCTGTTATTTACCGTCCCCCTGGTTCCCCTCTTCTCTTCCTTGACCATTTTGCTGCCTGGCTACCCTATTTCCTCTCTTCTAACATCCCATCCCTAATTCTCGGGGACTTCAATATTCCTATAAACCCACCTTTGACCTCTGCAGCCAATAAACTACTTTCAATTACTTCCTCCCTCGGGCTATCACAGTGGGCAAATTCACCCACCCATGTTGCTGGCAATACCCTCGACCTAATCTTCACTTATGCATGTACGGTATCTAATATCTGCAACACTCCCTATCCTCTCTCTGATCACCACCTCTTATCGTTTGCTCTCACGTACCCCCTCACCCAACAACCTCCACCTAAC